TTGAAGAACTTCTTTCTCCACGCTTGTTGCGAGTGCTACACATTAAAATACATACTTTAAATATTTCAAAATTTATATTGCGTTGCGTACCTATGCGTTTATAAGAGTTTGAAATTGTTTTGATTTGATGTGCATGATTGTTTTTGTATAAAATTGGTTATGTTGGAAGTTTATATCGGGTTTATTTAATAATTATGTTATTAGTTAGTTTCTTTTATAATACCTATCATGTTAATTTAATGTAGGAAGAATTAAAGAGCTATCCAGGTGTTTAATTTTAAAGTATAAAGAAAATAAAGTATTTATATGTATATACATAATGGGCATCACAGTGTCATCAAAATTATTTAGATCACTTAAAAATAGCCGAACAAAAGACACGCCATTACGAGACAACACTAAATTAAATTCATCCTCATTAACTGTCCTTTGTCATAAAGCTGACGAAAAACGTTCTATTTCCAACCGTTGACAATGCATGACGAAATATTTTTCATTTCCCGCCATAATTCGGTTCCGGGAACGCATTAAACGCGATCGTATTTTAATTTGGCCTGTGTCAACCGAGATTTGCACAAAGCACTAAAGGACTTTTTACACTATCGCTAGTTTTATTTTACTTTTTTAACTGAGAGAAACTGACAACTAGGTGTTAAGAATCATTTAAACGCTACAAAAAAACGCAATGTGAAATAAAACAAAAAGAAACGACTGCTTCGGTGGTCTGGTGATTAGTACAGTTTGTTTGGTATTTGAAATAAAAAAAATCAAATTCCAGGCCAAAAAACGGTGAAAACACCGGGTTCGCAGGATTACAGGATTTTTGTTACGTTGTCAAAATATGATTAGATAAACAACGTATTATCACTTTAAATAAACTGCTTTAATCTATTTCTTATTCTACAAAAGCAAAGGCACCCAAATACCAATCCCAAGTCCCATCGCTGGGCTTATCCGTTGAGTCTAGTGTATTAGGCACTTTAATCCATTTCGCTACAAGAGCGTTCCGCTTCACGCACATAATGCCGTGGGAATCGAGCGTGCATCTACAAAAGCTTTTATATAAAAATCTTTTTTAATTCTACAATAGGAATTATCGTCGACGTACGTAAAGCTTATACTTTATCGCGTCTAAAATCGCGTACAAATATACGTAAGAATAATAAAGAGTGGCTTTGGATCTATCGATAATATATTAATTATATAGGTACATATGTATACGTGTTAAAGATATGTTTAAGAAAAATCAGGAGATAGATAAACGCTATCTTTTAATCTAAACAGAATAAAGCAAAAGCATTTTTGAAATCAGGATTGCAATATTTCTAAGACTATTAATAGAATAAAAATAGCATTGCGTTAAACGTGAATGTCTTGGGTTCGAGTGCTAAGAAAACAACGGTCTTTCGGTCGGGCAGGGCACAGTAGTTTGCTCAAGTTTGTAAAAAAATTAACACAATTATATCTGGTCCACGATGATACATGATGGCACATAGTCTTAATAATATTTATTAATGAGAGTTTTGACTAAAATTATTCACAAATCAACGTACAAGTTACAAGCATTTGTAATTGTAATTTGCTAGCAAGCTTAGCTGATAAGTGCTAATAGAACATGTACATAAAAATAAGCTTAATACTAATTTATTAAACCTTTACATTTAACCGTTGCTGTTCTCCTGCTATACCGATAGACGTTTCAGATAATAACATTGTTTATAACACAATTCACTAACGTGTGAAATGTAACGACTGTTATTACTGTTCATAATAAAGACGTTATAAGTGCCCCTTCAGTTATTTAACCTAAATTAACGAAAGTGTATAATAGAAGAAACGGCGATTTACTGATTTAATTCCGTGTTTTATTTCATAGGTTTAAATCGAGGTAAAAAAAACATTCACATTAAATATTATAATAAATTGCAGCACTTCTTCTTTCTTATAATAGAGTTCGGATAGGTGCAGTATCTCAACAAATTCGCTGTAGACTTATTTTCGCTTTGGATGCTCGAAAAACCACAGACTGTAACATATTAAACGTCAAGCCTTTTTATCTGTGGACAGTGATTCGTGAACCGTTAGGATATTTTTGAAAAATTATTAAGTGATGGAACATGGTGGACCCAAGTGGAAATCGAACCCATGATAAATTTATTATTCCCCTTAAATTGCTACCTTTAGACCATCGAGTCCGTCTTGCAAGAAGCGCTCTATTGTCCTATATTTTTATATTGAACGAAGTTAAACATTGACCTCGTCTGTCGCAAATTCGACTCCCGCCTACATCCGATATATACATTTCTCTTGATATATTTTTGTAGCAGAAAATGGTAAAATATCTACATGATAGTATGTTCTTTATAACAATGGTTCCTTTTTTCAACGTCGTAAGCTCTAACATTTATGCCACCTTAACAATGAGAGTAAGTTTTCTACGTGTTTTCACGAGCTTTTGCATGTCACTTGAGTGTTTCACTGCGGCTCCGACCTTCATCTAGGTAATATGGTGTTAAATATAAAATATATAAACTTACCAATAAGGTGTGTTATACGGTAGACACCTGAAAACGAGAAAAATACAATAAAAATCATATCGTCTATATATTTCTCGAAAAAAAGCTCCATCTGAAATAACTAAACATTTTTCGAATTCGAGAATAGGTCTTAAAATAACAATCTCTAATTTCTGAAAGGCATTTGCGAATAGAAATAAAGATGATTTGAAAATTAAAAAGTTACGACTCGGGCAGGACTTGAACCGGCATCGTCAGCGTTCCGTGCTGTTGCTCTATGGAAGGCGGGCGATGCCGGTTCGAGTCCTGCCCGAGTCGAATTTTTTTTTTCAATTTATTTTCCATTGTCATCATGTGCATGTGAAAAACATTAAAGTTTTCAATGAAGAAGATTACCCTAAATCTCGTATTAAAGTCACTTCCAGTATAAAACATTTGCAAAATACAATTATTTCCATGAGAAATTCTACTTCAATAGCGTAACACGAGCGCAGAACTCGATAAAACACCGCACTACCCCATTTTCCCATTTAACCGTGTCCCATTTCACGGAGTGACGTCACCGGAAATAAATGAACCCCTATCAGACTGCGCTCTGGAGCCTACACAGGATATTTAGTGCTTCTATAGGAATTTTCCAATTCTATTTCATTTCCCCTACTGGTCGATTTTTCCGCAATTTTATGCGATTCTATATTTTATTACTATTAGTTATTAGTTATATTACTGATGGATCACAGACTTCGTAATCGGGCTTATTTTTAAAGTATTTAGGTGCATTTTAGTTTAATAGTGTTAGGCTTTATAGTAACCATTTTAAACAAATATTTTTTATAAAATGTTGATAGATACGATTTTATGTTTTCCCGTCAACCTGTATGATAATTTTTAAATGTCTATGTTAGTCTTTAAATTAAATGATGGTACATAAGAATTTTAAATTCACAAAACACATCCTTATTTTAATCGGGAAGTAATGTAAGTAATGCTACCAGAATAAAGGTTGATTTTACACATATTTAAATAATTCTTATTGGCCCATTTCACACGACAGTTCAGGAAATGGTATTGTCTGATTGAAATAGTTTCTAATCCCATTCAATGTATTCTACATTACTGTCAAAGATAAGGACACATTTTTGCTGTCAAGTTGCTTCAGTCAACATTTAAACAAATGAACTTAAAATATGCTTTGTTATGATGTAAAAAATATTTTATTCATCATTATTCCATTTTTCTCTTTATCATAAAATTCGTAAGCATTGATATGCTTGGATTTAAAATGCTAATACAATGATGTAAAAACAATGGGCCATAACATACAATTAAAAAAATATATCTATAGATATGTTAAAACCATCATTACACAAGAACAATATCTAATATTTGAATTATAATATAACTTTAGCAAGTATCCTTAAATATAAAATTAAAAAGTTGGTAAATTTTAAGAATTATGGGGTGACATAACCTAGTAAATAAAAGAAAGTTAAAGCCCATTAAATAGAGATTTTAAAAAGAAAAAAAAACATTGGTCATCACCAAACTGAAATAGAGGATTATTAAAATAAAATGTATATCCATGAAATATAAAAAAAATAAAATGCAACACCAAAATTTCACAATAGCTCAACTGCTGATTTGATAACATATTTAGGTGATGTTTCAGATTTCTATAATAAGCGTAATTCTACACTACCAACGTAGACAATAACATGTCCTAATTATAAAATAACATTTATTCTTATAAGGCTACCTTCTATCCATGGCAGTATTATTATATTTTAGGAACATATTATAGATATTACTAATGGAAACTATTTGGCGTGGAATTACATTTTCGTTAAACGAAAACTTAAATAAATTGATTATTAAAGTCTGGGACCTTTAAAAGCTTTAAGCTTCTCTTAGAATAACGACTTATAAAAGCTAAACATTAAAAAATCACACAAGAAGCTTATGTTTACAAACGATCTCACATAACATGACCATATCGTTAATGTACATTTTACGTACCTGTAACTTGTATTGCCAATAGGCGGATTTATTTATGAATTATTTACACACATACACATAAAAAATAAGATAAAAACCTAATAAAAAGCCAAAAAACAATGAAATCGAATTTTCGCCACAAATTTCGATTTTAAGGATAGTTGACAATTGACAGCTACATTATTTTATTACTAAGCGTAGACTATAAACGGTACGATATAATAATGCAACTATGGTAAGTTCGCAGACTATGTCTGATGTAAGAAGAATATGAAGTTTATCAAAATATCCTTTTTCAAAATATTCTTTTTTATTCTGTGATATTGAATTTATGTGTTTATAAGGAAGTTGACGTTCTCTTTGAGCGTATGTGTATTATTGTTTTAAACACGATTTTCCTCTTTCCTATTAATTTGCGTCATTGTAATAACTAAGAGGAGAGTATATCAAACGGCAAATTTATGCTACAGTGTTAAATTCTGATTCAAAATGAGTGAACCTGCTAAGATACTGGATATAAACTCTGACCCTAATCTTGCAAATATTGGGACGACCCGAGCGGATAATGCACCTGCATTCCGAAATCCTACACCATCGACATCTACGGGAAATGTCGGTCCACCAATGTTACCACCAAGGCCGACTCTGGCTCAGCCCAGTTATGTGAATAATATGACCAGTGGAATGTATGGCACGGGTGGTTCGTATGGCATGGGTTATGGTAACTATGGATATAACTATGGTGGATTAGGAGGGTATGGCATGAGCTCTTATGGTATGGGAGGAATGGGTGGTATTGGAGGTATGGCACCGTACGGCAGTTACAATCGTTACCCCATGGATATTGAAAATAGGTAATTAAATAATTTGTTTAATGTAAATGTAAAACATTTTATTTCTATAAAGATTCAGTTTAAATACAAATATTTATTTCTCTTTTTTGAATTGCTATCAACTTTACCTTATTCTTTTCTGGTTTTATTACCATTTCTGATAACGTTTGTCACTTCTCAGTGATAAAGAATGATATCATAATGTGAAACGCAAGCACAATAATTGCTTTAATTATTCAAACTTTGTTAAAGACACTTATCAAAACTCTCTTCTATAACTGATACAATTACTTTATTTTAATTTTTTTAATATACTTCAATCTAATAGTTTTAACTTATTTGTGGTTTGTTTGATTTACAAAGAAAGATTGTTGTCCTAACAATGCAACAAATTAGAATACAATAGTGCATGTTTTTAAGAGCAAACTGTTTGCACATCTTAATCTTTAAAGATTGCTTATTATAAATCTTTGTATTTCTCTTATCTTTGTGTTTCAACTTTTATATTACACATTTATATTTATTCTAGGTTCATTCAAATGGCAGAAGAAAGTTCGCGGCCAGCATTTGACTCAATACAAAGCGTGGTAAATGCATTTGGCAGCATAGCTATGATGATGGAGAGTACTTTCTTTGCCCTGACTAGCTCATTTCGAGCTATATTAGGTTTGTTTCACATTAAGTATGATACGGAATAAATCAGGTATTAAGTAGTGTTAGTTTAGTGATATAGACATCCATTTATTTGTGTTAGGAGTCAAATTTCTGGTCCTGCACGTAAATATGCATATATTTTTATGTATATTCTCTAATGAATGATGAAGTGTGATCTAAAGTCCATAACTCATTGGAATGACATCTGCCAAAACACATTTCGCTACAATGTTAGAGCTAGGTACACCTGTCATAGATAGTGTAAGCAATGGAAATTGTAGAATTGCCATATCTTGTTTCAGGAGTGGCAGAAAACTTTGGAAGGTTGAGATCTCTATTTGCACAGTTTTGGTCAACTTTTGCTGTTGTACGGACACTTAACTGGCTTGTTCGTAAATTGTTAGTCCTACTAGGTATTCGGACAGAGTGTGAATTTAAGGTAAATTCTGAGAAGTTATATTAGATAGACAAAAAATGATAAGAAATTCTCTTCTGCGCCTCAATTATCTTATCACATGTTATGATTAAAAACAGTACCAGTGACATCTAGAAATAAGTATTTTATATTGTTTCTCTAAGTTTTATGACCTAAAGATAATAAATTGTTGAAATAATGATATAAATGTATACCTAAGACATACCCATCGGATATGGCTTAATATTTATAATAACTGTATGTTCATAAGAACCAATTTACTGGAATATTGCTGCAATGCATTTTGACTCTGACTTAAGGGAGATGAGCCGCTTGCTATAGTTCTAGTTAATTTCACTGCTCTTGGTAACTGTAACTAATTGTAACTGGTAAGATTGCCTAAAATAGCTATATTGATTTGTTGTTGAGATTGACAAGTACGGATTATTACAGGCCTGGGCTGAAGCAGTCGCTGCCACCCAGTCTGGTACAGCGACACCTCAACAAAAAGCAAAGGGATCTAGCTGGCCCATATTACTATTCTTTGGGGTTATTGCTGCTGCTCCTTACATTGTTTTGAAGATGATAAATGGCCTCTCATCTAGCATAAATGAGAGATGTAAGTTAAATACTGTCTATAGTTTACGCGAGTAGTACACATTTAAATAAAAAACTTTAACCGTTTAAAACGCGATATATTCGTTAAACTTATTTGATAATAAAGGTGTAAGTTTTTTATATCAAGAACGATCTCTATAAACTAATTTCTAAATTAAACTAATAGTCTATTGTATTGATTATAATAAATTAAATGTCAAGGAAATAGAAATATATAATTAAACTAAATAAGTCTAATATTAGCCTCATACTAAATTTTATTATTAATTTGTATCATTAGTCAGTATTGTAGAAAATCAATGTAGAGCAAACATTATTGTTTTAGATTTGTCCTACATATATTCTTAGATGATTTTAAATAGTAGCCGAATAAAAGCCACATTTTAGTTATATCTACTTATACTAATATATAAAGAGTTTGTTTGTTTGTTTGCACGCACTAATCTCAGGAACTACTAGTTCAAATTGAAAAATTATTTTTGTGTTTGAACATTCATCAAGGAAGGCTATAAATTATTGCACTCTGAGCAAGAGGGGCAACGAAACAGCGACAAATGTGGAAAAAACGGGGAAAATTATTCTTCCTTGTGGGTTTCCGATGCATAAGCTGCTATAACGGTTCAAGATACCCAAAAAATGTGTATGAAGCAATCATTATTTTTTAAATGGTCTAGGAAAATGTCCGCGACAATATATATCCATCTTTTAAGATTGACTGGCAAGAACGATGGGACACGAACAAGGTCGTGCTTAAATTTTTAAAGATGGGGCTCAAAATATCAATTCTACGAGGACGAAGTCGCTGACACAGCTAGTATATAATATAACTTAAAATTTTCAGTACACGATCCAAACACATGGCAAAACCCTCTACGTGCCGTTGGACAACATGACTTCCAAGCGACTTCACCTCAAGAGATCAGTTTCCATGCCAACCAGGTTCTCTTTATTGCCCCACAGCACCTACAAGGAAATCTATGGAATTCCGGCTGGCTAATGGCCACCACGGATAAACAGTTTGCCGGACTAGTACCAGTTAATTACATTAAAGTTATCAAACCTGTCGAAAAAGATGCGAATGATAGCAATTTGGAGCAATGCTATCAGCAGGGGGTCTAAATGTATATTATTTTGTATTGTTACATTTTTAACTTCCTTATTTATAGAAATCCTTTATTTCTGACACATTGCATTAGTTTAAAGTATTACAGAGCTTGAAAAATGATTTCTATGAAAAGGGGAGCTCCTAAATCTCGACTTAAGTAACTATAGCATATATAACAATGGTGCATAGCTTCAGACTTAGGCTATGCTTTGAAAATATTGATATTTATTTATTTATTAACTTTATTAATTACAAACACCACAGAAATGGTTTACAACAATAAATTCTTATGTACTAGGTTATATTGAGGTTATATATATATGATATTGTGGGTTTTAATAGGAAATACATGAGTATCTTCATTATTCTTTTTTTAAGATATCAGGGAGACATTTCAACAATTTATCCCGTGGTTAAAAAACCACGGGATAAATTTGCTAACTGGCTATCTTAGGTAGTAAAAGGTTCTGGTGAGTTAAAACAAATTTTTGTTATACCATATACTGTAATTATGTTATTGAACATTAGTTATAACTAGTTTTAACGTGTCATATTGTAAGCATGAAGTGTGCAGTCAGGCCTACTGACGACTGACAGTGAGTGTATTTTGTGATATATTGTTATTTTTTGTTTATTGGGAAAGGTTTTTATTTAATTTTATACATATACAATCGAGGTACTAATTTTGATTATGTTACGTTAATATCGACTAGGCTTTACCGAACAAGTTAATAATCAGGAAATTAAAGACGAGTTAATAATTTGTATCGTTTACGATACTCTTTTCTGGTTTAGACTAGTGCGAATAAACAGTATCATAAAATAATATGCATTTCTATGAAACTATGGACTTAATCTTAGCCACTTTTGTGAGCTCTCTGTAATTTAGTAATGTAGATAAAATGGACTGAAATAAATGAATTACAAGTATGTCGCATATTTCCTTGTACCAAGTTCTCTGCACGGATTAAGTTAAACTTGAAAAAAATACTAATTGTCTTTGTCTTACACTTTAAAAGAATCTTTTAGTGTTATATCCATAGCATATTGCTTTAGTTCAAGTAGGGAATGCAAACCGTTTTACATTTATTGGTCAAAGTAGAAAGCAAATTAAATAAAAAAATAGTTTTTAGTTTTTATTGTAAAAGTTTACAAGTAGGGTTCGGGGAATTCAAATGTGACTTCACGCCCCGTCAGCTTCTTGTATACTGATTGGAAGGTGTCCACCTGTAAATAATTGTGATAGTAAATATTCAATAAGTATTTAAATTATTAAAGCCACTTTAAGCTATTATTGTAAAGAAACTTGCATAAGGGTCTATGCTGACGATTACAGATCTATAGGTTCTATAGGCTTATGTCACAGTTTTTTCTTTAACTTTCATATTAAATCTTTCTGGTCTGGACTGAAGATGTCTATGATGTCAAACAAGTATTGATATTAAGTTATACCTTGTGTTCAATAGTGGTCTGTTGGTTCTTGTCAAGATGCACCTTGATGAGTTGAGAACCGTCCAACTTGATCCTAATCCGCTTGCCAACAATCTCAGCGGGGAACACTAAGTCTTCGAGGATAGCGTCATATACTGACGTGAGGGTTCTGTAATATTATATTAATAATTACTAACACACACATACAAGTTTTAGGCTATTAAAAATTAGGCTGCTACCAATGGGAATAAAGAACCAGACATATAGAAAAAGAGGGAAAACCACTGTTATTCTTTGAGGGTTTCTGTTGTGTGTGCTTTAAAAACGATAAAATATATATAAAATTATTCTTCACTAAATACAATTTTTAAAAAAGTTCCACATCATTATATGTCAATTATTATAGATGGTAGTAGATAGATGACTCACAAGAACCACTGTTTTTGATAAAAGTATTTATTAATTATGGCAAACAAAAGTTTGCTCAGTCAGCTAGTATTTAATTTACATGGATGTTTTAAATTTAAACAATATTATACTTGAACACTGTATTTACAGAGTGACATATTCAATGAAACAGTTTTAATGCAAGGAAGGATATTGATTAGTTCAAATGTAAATTAAAAATAATCACAACTCGCATTCTGTGCTATTGCTCTAAACAATTGAGCTACTGAGTCCAAGTAAGTGTCATCATCCAATCTATTGATACTTGCACCTCTCATATAATTTCAACCTTAACAATTGCTACTTTTAATGTATTATTACTACATACATTTTCAAACAGTTGCCAGTTTGTCTCAATAAATACACATTGTATTTGACTTTGAAACTAATTTAAAACTTCTCAACTAATAAGGAGGCTAATGAGGTGAAAATTGAAGGTGAAATATTACATACCTAGATCTGGGCCTCTTCTGTTTGTTAGCAACACGTGTCTTGTGGCTAGGCTTCGGTAAGATCTTTCTGTCTCCAATAAAGACAACATGTTTGCCGCTGAATTTCTTTTCTAGCTCACGGACCAAACGGATCTGAATCTTTTGGAACTGCTTCAGCTTGGGCATCGGCACATAGATAATTATTGACTGAAATTCAAACAATCTTGGTCAGAATATGTGGTCATTTTTGGGTCTGTGACTATCTAAAATAGTTATTTGTGTTTCAAATTTATGAATGGACCATATTACAAAAGTGGAATGGTTAAACAATTTATTAAAATATAGAACTAAATATTTTAAAACGATTTTTATTGACAAAGACAGTACCTCAAACTGTAAGGATAAATATAATTATTCAGATACTTTATCTACTGAGTTTGAAACAAAAAAAAACTTGTACTTACTTTCTTATTGTGTAATTCAATTTCTTTAGCCTTAGTAATGTATAACTCCCGAAGTTGAGCCTTCAAGTCAGAGTTGGTCTCCAATTCGACCAACGCCTGAGAGATCGAAGTCTCAAAGTTATCGGCTTCGACGCCGCCAGGCTTCATTATTTTCGTACTCATCTGAAATACGAAACAGCATTCAAGAACATACCACAAAACACAGCCTTATAGGTTAGAGTATAAGTCACTATTGGTTTCTGTTATTCCACTGTTGTTACAATAACTATTAACACAATTCGTTGCATATTTGGTTGAATTCGGTTTTGATGTTATATACTTTCACATATTTTACAAGAACTTGTAACCAAAACAACGTTGAAGAAGACACGAAAAGCAAAAGAGTTTAGCGACAAATATCGGCATAATCTTTACCCTAAATTTGAAATTATGGTTTTTCACAAATTCACTAATAAATAAGATTATGGATTATAGCAGTATTTGCAGTAAAATTTTGTTAATCTATAATTATTATCAAGAAATTCTGAAAAATATCCACCTTGGAGACTGAGCGGGAGTAAAAGAGACGGAAAAGAAACTTACACTGTCAAAATCAAAAATTGACTGTTGACATTCACGAATACAATAACTGCTGTTGTCATAGACAGATCCATGTGTGGTGCTACCTAACTTAAAAAAATCCTTATTATATTAAAGAATAACATTCAAAGGTTCTGATATAAGCATATTCCTTATTACGAATTTACAATTTTATGGATTTCGATTAACCCAAATTTTTTTTGTGAAATAAGATCACGAATATGGAAATCAGGTGTCAAATTTTGACAATTAACAGTTTACACTAAAATCAAAATAAAGTAGAGCCTGATGATTATTTTAAAATAATTATCTCCGCTTCTTTAAAATCAAAAATAGATTATATTTAACACAATGTATCTCTAAACTTCAGTAAAACTACGCCAGACGTTTGACTAGGTAAGTACACTATAATAAACATACTTGCAGACATATTTTGAATAAAATTGTATTTCTCATAAATATATTATAGTGCTGAATATTCTATCGTATTATGTGTGAATTATATGAAAAATAACAATATTGCACTCAAAAAAAATATGTGTTAGTTTTATAAAGAAACTAATATATATTTTTTTTATTAATATTTTAATGGCTCATCAATTGAACACCTAATAATACAAGTAACTTTTACGCAAAATTAATAAGTATGTAACTCAGACAAACATTACATTTGTAATTTTCATATATATTGTGTAATGTTTATAATTAAAATCAAGGTCTTTCACTTCATTAAGATATTTCGGTATTAATTAAAATCTACTGTTTTTAGTAATTGCTATGTAATAGCCGCGATTGATCATTTTTAAGTATGAAGGGTTACTGGCTTTTTAATTTCATTGCCCTGAAATATAAAAAATAATTTAAGTCAGATTGAGTACTTAAGTTTGATTTCATTAAACTACATTTTCTCTAACTAAAATCAATTAGTGTAGTTTGGTTCTTCCCTGCCTTACTTTGAGGAAAGAAGACACATGCTATGCTATAACCATGAATGGAAAAGTTGGTCTTTATTTGTAAAATTATACAAAGTAGTGCATTGTGTTACAGATTTTTTTATAGATAGTTTAGCATAAATAAAGATATAGTTTTAACTAATTTGAAATGATAATTAATAATACAAATTTATCCCTGTCTAAATATATAATTTAATTTACTCAACTTACTAAGTAGAACTAAAGCACCTCAATGGAAATATTTACATTATACTCCTTCAATAATATTCTGTAATAGATATGCTCTTTTAAGACCTGAAATAAAACACTTTTTACTGAACTTATGGATAAAAGTAATAAAGTAACAAAATTACAAATTGTTAAAAATGTTTTGAACATCCTTTTTGGTTTGAGACACTATGAATAGTATGTATAGAAGCTTTAAGTATTATTAGGGGTATAGTTACATAATGTAGTATTTTATTATAATCTCCTTTGTCATACTTTCCGTGTCAATATATCTCCACTACTAAGGTTTATCCTGACTAGACACATATATTGTAGTTAACATAGTGATCTTATATCGAATGTTGCAACATTTACAATTACGATACTTGATAACACTAATCTACTTAGTATATGGCAGTTCGCATTCACACATCGCCGTTCACGCCCGCTCGCTCACCTCACAAAAATGTTCGTATATTTTTTTACTTTTTCTTGCGACCTTATTGAGTGCCAGTTATTTATTTCAATTTATTTTTTTAATATTAAAGTGAAATTATTAATGTGTTCAGTTAGTTAGTTATACTATTTTCAGTACTGCGCGCCACGAAACAGAATCTTTTGGTATTTTACAGTTTTATTGGCGTTTTCCGCTATTTTATATTAGTGCGGTACACGAGTACATGTTACAATATATATTTTTATCGGTTTATTGGTACGCGATATTTTTTTTTTGATGTTAAAATATTTAGTGTTATCTGAAGCTATGGATTAATTTATGATCGACTATCGTTTACCTACGTGAAATATCGTGTGACTAATGAATTTCGCGGTGTAAAAGAAATAAAATGGCTTAATGTTGCTTTTGTTGAGGTTGTGTTAAATAATGCCGTACATTTTTCTATTAATATACACGTGTAATTCCGTTTTGGCAACACGGACGGCAGGTACATTTCTGGGACCGTTTTATTGTAGGATTTTATTGACAGGCTGATAGATTTAATTTCTATATCCTGCCCAACTGAAACCATCAATTGATTCCTTGACTTTTAAATAAAACACTTTAACTTTAATATAATGTATTAGTAAAACTTATTTGACACTTTGCGAAACGTCGAGCCGTAGTTAAAATAATGTTCAAATAAGTTTAAAAAAATCACGTTTTAAACCATTAAAATGTTTTATTTAAATGTGTACTACTCGCGTAAATTACAGACAGTGTTTGTTGCCTCGACTATCAACGCTATATAAAATCTTAAGTACAAAATGCACGTAACCATTAAGCCACGGAGGCTGTGAAAATTGAAATGAAAGATTGCATAATATAGGACATATAGTGTAACTATTGTTGTTTGAAGCTTCCGTCGAGATTATTTTCGTCGTTGATAAGGATGTCACGTCGTTTGGATGACCTCTCTGTATTTTAGTTAAGAAAAACCGGAATTTTTGTCAAATACGCATCATTTAGCAAAAAAGTAATTAACAATCATACAAAGTTGTAGTAAGAACAACATTGCTAATAGCATGATAGTAATAATTTAGGGTTTAAATTAAATACATTTTTTAAATTAAAACCTTTTGACTTTTCCGCGAAGTAAGGTTCCATATATAGATTTTCTATTACATTGATCGTTGTTTATGTAATTATTGTTACATGCACCAATTTTAACTTAATTTCCTGTTTTTTTGTAATATTGTTCGTTACACACAATTAATCTAAAGCGAATCGATTAATTTGAATATTTATTTTTCCTACATTTATATGTCATTACAACGACCGCCTCTGTATCCAAATGGTTAAACGTGCCTAGCATTGCGTTAAGGGCGAGAAGTGGGATTCGAATCCCAGGGAAACAATAGATTGTGTCGATTGGGCAGGACACAGAAGTCTGGTCAGCTACTACTCAGTAACATAACCGATCCATGAAAACAGACACAGAAAAGTGTCCCCCCGAGCTCCACATGGGAAACTGACACCTTTTCTCACATGTTATTACAATGAGTTAAGTCAAACAGTGTAGATAGTATTTACTATAGGACATGGAGTGGTTTTGGTCGCTTACTGTCGTTTTTGCTGACGCTGTAGTGGAGAAATACTTCGTACAGAGTATTCACACACCTGTGTAAATTACTTTAAACTAATTACAGATTTATATTTCGTAACACGTTGGACAAAGGGTAATATGACGCCTCATGTAACATTGAAGTGCTTCGCAAACATTGTATTGAAGTGGTTACAGTTTACTTATTATCAGTAAATCAATAATTTTAAGGTCACATATATAAAATTGATATTTTATTATTTATATTTACAAGAATGAAGTAGTATGTAATTTTTGTCCCCCCAATCCAAAAGGGGATTTTCATTCGTTTTCTGTCCAGTCTCGGAGGACAATAAATAAAAAGAGAGGACGATATTTTATTTATATTTATGGGGTAATTTATTAATCTTTATTATTTCGCGCTATGCTATATCACACCACCAAGTTTTATAAAATTTAAAAATTTGTTATCAGATTTACTTATGCGCCAAACTGTATATGAAATAGTCTCATAAAATTTACAAAAACTCGCAAGCAATGTTGAAAAGTAAAGTCACAAAAATGACATATAATTTATAAATATTAATTTGCCACTAAAACTCTTATCTCTGTGGTAGTTATTGTAACGATGTACTTACACTTGCTTGCTGTTTTTACATACCTATGATATCCATATCTTGTATTATTACAATTTTCAAGTAGGTTCTTTATTGTTTTGTTATACTCGTATACGTTGAAATAGTTATAATATTATTTTAACTATTATACCTGAATACATTAAAAATATGCTACTAAAAACTGTAACTATATTTTTTAATACTTTTGGAAAAATAAAAGAAAATTTTGTCCGACTAGTGTAAGACGGGGTTCCGTACTATACACGCTACCTATATAATGCTGGTAATAGAAAATTTACTGTCTACTACGTCTCACAGCGGCGCAGCGCAGTTTTCGTAACAATTTTACAGCGAAAAAATAGGACAGATGTCTTATTAGATCCTTTACAACCATAACTCTAATATAAAATACTTTTTGTCCACGATGGTTTTTAAAGTCTACGAATTTTGGCTTTAGATATTCTGAAATCTACAGACTAATTCCGAGTCGCGATTAAACTTAACAACTTTTTCTGTGGATGGTAAGTGACCCGGACTTTGAATTTTCAAATATTCAGTCGAAGTCCAATATGTTTCAGAAAAATTATAAATTGATAAGAAACGTGTTGACCTGGTCCAGCAAATGATCGAAGTCACCCATCATCCTATTCATCATCATCCATTAGCCCATCAAAAATAAATTATTTTTTTTTATTTTCAGTATAATGTCACCGGCTATTCTAGTGACTGGTGGTGCAGGGTATGTCGGATCACACACCGTTATGACTCTACTTGAACAAGAGGACAATAAACACGAAATTGTTGTCGTTGATAACCTTTCAAACAGCTATCGGTAAGTATTTATCTGTGACTACGGGAAACTGTCAACATAGACAATAGAAAATTATTTTATCTATGTCCACTGATATCAGTACTTGTAGTGATACAGTATTTGTATGACGCACCTTTGTGAACTTTTTTAATTTCTAATAAAATAAAAAACATAAACAATAACTGCGCCGGTGTTTTGTCTTTTTTTTTGTATTCTACATTGTGCTGTCATAGTCTACGTCTGCTTCAAAGCATTCGGAAGCTGTAGTTAAAATTAATAATACGAGATATTTCACGTTATAAACCGTTAACATATATTTAAAGTATATTTTTACTTCACCTCTGCTGCTAACACGTTTAATTAAAAAGTCCCTTGTATTTTTTTTAATATAGAGGAGGGCAGGCAAGCATAGGTTTCACTTTTTGGGAAGTGAATACTCCAGCCTTATTATATTTAACATCTAAGCAAAATGCGCTATGTATATGCTGTAATCCACAGACTGAAACCGCAACGCGATTAAACTGCCGACGGTCGTTCGTGACTGGGGCGCAATTTCGATTTTTCTATCACCCATTTAATATCCAGATGAAATCCAACATGTCTCAGAAAAAGTATAAATTGAAATATTAGAAACATAATTTAAAAATCGAAAATATATTGAAAAAAATTTCGACTCGGGCAGGGCTAGAACCGGCATCGTCAGCGTTCCGTGCTGTTGCTCTACCGAGTCCTACACCTCATCGTCGAATTTTTTCAACTTACTGATACATGCACCTATCGCGCAATGTAATTTCAACCTTAACACTTTCGTATTAAGGTTCAATGTCTTATGCTTTGCAGCTTAAGAAATCATTGAAGATGAAATTACAAAGTAAAAAATAAACAAATATTAGAAACATGTTGGGTCCGGTGAGGAACGTACCCACGACCTGATTATTGGTCATATATTGCAAAAGCTCGTCAAAGTTAAGCAAATTTAAACGAAAGTTTTACCTACATCATACTTTATTATACGTTACATTTCACTTATTACCCTTTATGTTTACAGAAATGACGGTGACAAAAAGCCGGTGGCGCTGCAAAGGATCGAAGAAATGACAGGAAGAACAATATACTTTTACCCGGTGGACCTCGGTGATAGCCTAGCGCTGACTAAAGTTTTTGAAAATGTAAGTATTAAATACTAATGTCTATAGTTTACGCGAGTAGTTCATTTTCAAATAAGTTTAACTAATATATCGCGTTTTAAACCGTTAAAGTGTTTTATTTAAATGTATTAACCAGTGTTGATTAATTAATGATCAATTGTTTTAAACAGCAACTAATTAAAATATGTATGCGGCGTCGACAGGCGCAAATCAAACACAAGACAGACGCCGTATCAAACATATTAATATTTAAGTCTTATTCATTCTTCAGCTACTTGAAACAAAAAAAATAAAAAAAAGTTAAGCTAAAGAAGAACGGTTTCATAAAAATGCCTTATATTGGAGGATTAAATTAATTTGATGACGTGTAGGATGGTAGCGTAATTGGTTACAGTAGCACGGAACGCTGTGAATGCCGGTTCCATTCTCGCCCGTGTCGTACATTTTGATATAACGAAATAGATTTTTTTTAATTTTAACCTAATAATGTTTTAGAAATCTTAGCAAGCTCGTTTTCTATGTATTTTAAATATTCCTTTATAGATTTTTATTTTAATTTTAGCACAAAATCGAATGTGTGATCCACTTCGCAGCGTTGAAAGCTGTGGGGGAATCGGTGCAGAAGCCTCTCGAATACTATCAAGCGAATATCACTGGAACCTGTACCTTATTTGAAGTAAGTATCTTTGATTAATATAACCGTTAAGTCTTAGTGAATTTAAAATGTTCATGCACATAAATATATATTTAAGTAACAGTATGTTTATGTACGATTGTCGAACCCACGAACAAAAGCATTTAAGCCCTTGCTATAACTATGAAGACCCTATGATTAAAATTTTTGTTGCAGTTGGGCAATGCATAGATTTCTGATAAACTTTTTGTAAAGAAATCGAACTAATGAGACGGATCCAGATATGTGCTTCCCCAAGCCCCATTGAGGACAACGGGGTTTTACTTAAAAAAACGATACTGTTGTGTATTTCATATTATTCTACTCGCAGCATTTTATTTTAATGTACATATTATTCTAAGTCAAAAATCATTTATTCATGTAGGTAACTATGTACACTTATGAACGTCACAAAATAATTACAGAATCTAACTTTACTTTAGTACCAGTTCTCGAATCAAGGGCGTAGAACGAACGAGAAGAACTGGCAATAAACTCGCCGTCACTCGATTTATCGCCAAGTTTCATTTTACATTCTTGTTTTAGGTTATGCGAAAGTACAATGTATATAAGCTTATATACAGTTCATCTTGCACGGTTTACGGTGAACCGCAGAAGTTGCCCTTGGACGAGTCTCACCCAACTGGCCAAGGCATATCCAGCCCATACGGACGTACCAAGTATTTTTGCGAAGAAATCATGAAGGATTTGTGTAATAGTGACCAGGTAGGCATTTTAAAACTGTAAAATAATTTGTCTGCCATCAACACAACGAGTTTGCTTTATTGATCTTAATCTTGATGATAACACAAGGCTAAAAATCGATTTTAGATTAAAAAACGACACGGGTAGGTCTTGTAACGGCATCCACAGCGTTCCGTGCTGTTGCTCTAACAAATTGACCTACTGTGATACTTAAACTCACCTCAACTTATTGATACTTCTCTCTGGCTTAAGAGAGAAGTATCAATAAGTAAAAATACTATTAATATAGTATTTTTCACATGTTATTATTGCCCAGTGCCATCATGTGCAATACCATGTGTAAAATATTAGTTTTCGATTGTGAATCCTTTCAGAAGTGGCAAGTGATATCTCTCAGATACTTCAACCCAGTAGGAGCCCATCCCAGCGGTCGGATTGGGGAAGATCCATCAGGCATACCGAATAATCTTATGCCATTTATATCCCAGGTACAGTATAGTAGAAAAGTATTTTTCTTTCATGCTAGTTAGCTATGTAGGTAAGGTGCATGTTTTTGCAATTATAAAACTACCTTAATTTTACTTGTTCCACCTTAAAGGGGAAAACGGCCGCATTGCAGCCTTCATTTAATTTACAGTAAAAATTCACATTCGTTTTAGCAAACCCCTTCATCTTTATAAACTTAAGCTGTTAACCACGACGTCGGGCGCGTCCCTTACCGTCGTTCTTGCAAGATAATTTTAAAAGATAGACATATGGCGTCGCAGACTTATTTTTTGTGTACATATTTTTTGGGTATCTTGACCCGTTTTGGCAGCAAAATTTGTCACATTTCTCACTGTATCTCGCTTCTATTAGTCAGAGGACGAGGTTTTATAGCCTGTGGTTTTCCTCGATATATGCTCTAGTTCCAGTAGAATCCGTAGTTCCTAAGATTAGCGCGTTCAAACAAACAAGCTGTTCAGCTTTTTATATTAGTATAGACGTGTTAAAAACAAATATATACTGTAATCATTAAATTAATCAAATTCGTTTTGAAATGGTTCAAGAAAAAAAAATGTTTTTAGGTAGCGGTAGGTCGTTTGTCAGAACTCCTTGTATTCGGTGATGACTACCCCACGATAGATGGGTCGGGAGTTCGAGACTACATTCATGTTCAAGATCTGGCTGTTGGACACGTGAATGCGATGCAACTGTTTTATCAAAAGGGGTTCAGCGGTTTTCATTCCGTTAATCTGGGTGAGAATACTTTATTTTTTATCATAGAGGCGGCCGACAAGCATGGTCGCAAGTTGATGGAAGTAATAGCTCTAGCCATATAAGATCTCATCAAGATTCTTGACGACCTATTTTGGCTTTGCATATTCGGAAATCCACAGACTGAAACAAATCTCGATTAAACTTCAAAGCCTTTTTACCTGTGGACCGTGGTTCGTGATCTCGACGGATTTGGTATAATTCTGGATGTACTCAGATGTATCCAGATTTACAGCATGTTTTGGAAATATAATCAATTGATATGTTAAGCAGTGTAGGAATGTTCATTATTAAGTATTTAATATGTAAAAAGCGTTTTTTTTAATAGTAAGAGAGACTAGATTACTACTATTTTACTAATTTGATATGTAATAAATATTGTTTGTTTCAAAAGCAATATGTAATTTAAATAAAACTTTTTCAGTTTCATACGCCTAATCAATTTGAAAATAACATTTGTATTGTAATATTTATATATATAATTATATATACTTTGTTGCTAATATAAAAACATATACTTTTAGGTACAGGCACGGGTTATTCAGTCCTACAAATGATAGCTGCCTTCGAGTCGGTTTCCGGTCGTAAAATCCCATACAAGATAGTTGGCCGCCGCGCTGGGGACATAGCTACTAACTATGCTGACGTCTCGCTCTCGCAGGAGCTTTTAGGATGGCGTGCGACAAGGACAGTAGAGGATATGTGCAGGGACACGTGGAATTGGCAGAGCCGTAATCCTAGTGGCTACAAAAGCTAGTATTTGTAAGACTTAAGTACTGTCTGTAATTTACGCGAGTAGGACGCATTTAAGTAAAACATTTTTAACGGGTTTTTCACGCAAATGTTTTAGTTAAACTTTCCCCCACTGACAACGGCTGCTACAAAGCATCCGAAACGTCGGGTCGTAGTTATAATGAATTGTAATTAAGTTTAACTACATTTCGCGTTTTAAGCCATCAAGTTTTTTTTATTTAAGAGGACTTTTACTTTAATTATTTTGCTTTCTGAAAATATATAGTATTTATTTGTTATTATTGTTCTCTAATAACTTCCTTCGGTGAATATAGATCGAGGGAAGTTAATAGAGAATAAACGGCACGACTAACGCTCCATCAACCACAAGTTTAGTTGAAACCATTCTGTGTCCTTGTTCTCTGTAGGCATTTGTGGAAAAGAGACAATGCTCATTCTCACAACTGCCAAAACACAAGGTTTATTGCAAAGTATTAACTAAAAGTTAGTTTTTTTACACTTTTTTGCATTTTCAGTAAGATCTTAGTAATCATTAGATTTCTAACACCAAAAAGAAGCTTTTACATATCAATGTACCATATTTATTTGTACCAAAGATCTAAAATTCCAAAGATAAGAGTAAATATATATTTTATTTATGATTTTGTCTGCATTTATATAAATAATACTAAGGTACAATTATTATTTGTCAACAATTACGTTCCTATAAGTTGCCATATTTTATGTAAACTTAGTTTAGTATAGTGTATCGTGAATTTTATTATTTAATTTATTCCATAAAATAATTGTTATGTATTTATAACCAAAGAGTCTTATAAATATAAATACCCAGTAATAATTCAATTAATTATTTATACAATAATTACGTTGGTAAATATAAGGAATTCTTAAGAATCGTGTTTCTAATTCTATTTTCTATTTCAAAACACAAAATTTGTATGAAAACTATGGCGTTTAAGTGTTCTTATTAATGTATCATTCCTTTGAATTTCCATATTGTATAATTATTATACTTAATTATTTTATTATTCGAATATTACGGTGCTACGACGTTTATTTTAAAGAATTATAGATTCTTCTGTTTTACATTTGTTTTTCTCTATTTTCCATTAGAATATATCGTACCGAACGCTTGTGGCAGTCTACAAATCTCAGTTCGCCAGAGCAATGACGCTGTTAAAGATGCTAATTATTATTTTTTAATTTATCTTGCTCATTGCAAGATTGCACATGTGGAAAATAATGTTTCGAGAGGACATTCTTAACGAATAAACTTCTTAAATTACCAGTAACAACTGCACCTTTTAAAGAAACTGCAGAAAAATAAAAATGATACATTTTTTATATTATTTTATTATAATCTAAAATTACAAATCTTCATTACAAACTAGCTCACGTGTTCACTATTCAGCACTTCATAGTTTCTCTAGTAAACAGATTTACATTTATACAATTAGACAACGAAAAGGGCAAATGGATGAAAGAGGTTTTATGGTACAAAGAGTCAAAATTATGAAAAGAAAGCGAGCGAAGACAATTAAATAAAATTGCACCATTTAAAGGTTAATGGACACGATTTGTACTAAGTAATTACGACAGTTCACCGTAAGATGGGAGAATATAAAAATAAAAACTTATAATAATGAACTAATAAAAATTAATCTTATTTGAATTATATCAAGGATTGATACAAATCTAAGTCGCAGTAATTTGATTTGTTTTATTGTCCAATGTAATTTATAGATTTAACGAATGACAATCGTTAATAAACGACATTTCATGTTTAAAACTAACTCAACTTACGTACGGTAAGTTAGCAAAATCAATCGGGGACTTCCCCGGAAATAGACTTAAGTATAAACATATTCGCAACACCGCAACAATCTATAAGATGTATACGACGACTATTCTAAGTAAAAGCAGAGTTGAGGCTTTTCAACTCGTTTGCCAATCGAATTTTACAATTACAAAAAATCTCATGCCGTTGGTTTTTCAATTTTTGTTTAGCAAGCAATCCGTGACAAACCGTTAAAAAGCCTCCTGACGCAAGATTATACTCTGGTTAAATAAATCTGGTAAAATAATATTAGAAAATGTTTGTTGCAGGGTATTTTACTATTAGTTAGTATATAGCGGATCTTAGAACCAGAAGTTTAAAATTGCGCCAGTATCGACATAAGGCAACCATTGGTTAGAGAAGTGTTAGCTCATCTCGCCTTTAAGTTGGAAATATTCTACGCTTTGGTTGCGGGTAACTCAAATTCTAAGGCAGCGGGGCTAACAGAAACTCGAATATTTCTCTACAGGCAAACTATAGACACAAGTGTATGTGTGAAGTGATATATAAGATGTCTCTATCATTGAGGAAATAATAGAAAGGGACAATACCATCAAACGGTGTAATATAGAAGCTTAATAAACTTTGTTTAAAAACAATACCAAAGATTGCTTGCCTGTGTTGGTACTGTGAGGAGAAATACTTATTAAAAGGATATTCCAAAGCACATTCATACAGAAATCACTTGAGGTTCACATACAAATTAGCTAATTCGAGAAATATCAATAAGAGATTAGAAGACAGTTGTATTTCAATGCTTCAGTTTTAGGGATATTATGTCGCCTTAAACGAAGCTATGCGTAATGGCAACACTAAATAACTGAACATCTGTATAAGGTTAGACACATTTTTATTAGATTTAAGAACTTTAGTTCCAGAATGTACAATATTTATATTAAGGTACCATCGCGCATAGCCGAACTATAATTACATATACTTCCACAGCTGTTCTGTAAAAATAACGTCTCTTTAAACTTCACAGCTTTGCTAAGTATTAGGGGAATATCATCGTATAGATATTGGTGAATCCGACACTTGCAATGTTATTTGAATAAAATACACTTTTATAGCAGGTATATAAAAGTGTATATACACACACACACAAAAGGCACCGCGAACTACTAGACTACAGGTAGGTATGGACTTGTATACATTATGTTTAGGTTATTGATAGATATACATTTTAAATGAGTTAATAATAATGTATAATAACCATGGTTGAAAATTAAACTAATCATTTCTTCAGATTTATTAGTGTATTGACATCTCTATAGGCCAGAAAATATTAGGAAAGAAAATTAAATCCACTCACCAACCTTCTTATATTTCCATTAATGGAGGGCAAAAACAAACTAATCAATACACAGCATCTAATAAAGTTTAAAAAGGCCGCCAATGCATAATCTACGTTACTTTGAAACAGATTACTTTTGTATTTTGGAATTCATAATAAATTTTTAGCTGTTTTGAATCCTTCTATAATTTGCATTGAAACATACAATTTCAACTTTTGTCATCTTATAATATTACAAGTGTCAGAAATATATAGAGTTGGGTGTGTGTAAAAATATGGGATCTATTTTGTGTGGTTTTCCTGTAGATGCTAGCCTTCTCGTTTGATGCTGGGCATCTGCGGGGGAGGCTCGGCTAGGCCTTTCACCTGCAATATGCAAGAGTTAGCTATCACTTATCTTTTTAAATGCATAACCTTTCTTAATACATATATAAATGGTATTGTCTAAACTAATATTAAGAGATTACTGTATTTTGATAACAAATTAATAAAACATGGTCATTTTTATGAAGCTGCCTAAATAGCTATAGCAGTATAATGACTATTGAGTACATATTATATTTAGCTACCGGTCTCTCTAGCTATAAAAGAGAAATGAATAAGACAAAGTTGTTTGCGTTAAACGTTATCTTTTCAAATTGCAAGAATAATAATCATTTTATTATTATTTTTGCAAAGCAACAAATCCTGAGAACCTGGTATCGAATTTCAGATAACAATGTGTTTTCATCAGGCAAGGAAATCATAGACAATTGATCATTGTCTAATTATAAGTAAAATTGACAATGGATATGGAAATATGTCTCTTATTTGTGACAAACAAGCTATATATAACCCATCTAAAATTTGCCTTTGGACATTCGGAAATCCACAGCCTGAAACTAATATAAATAACCTTCACGGATTTGGCATTTGTCGATAGTCCTGACCGTCCTGACCTGGATGGAATTTCGATATTTCTATAATTGAAATATTAAATAAAATATGCAGGATGTTCTAAGAGAACTCCAACATGTTTTACACAGATATGTTGAACCCAGTGGAGATCAAACCTAATGAATCTATTGATTATTATTAGCAATACTAATACTACTAATATTAGTACCCAGATAGCACCTATATACCTTAAGTCTCGCTGCAGTTTTGAGGAAAGCGGGCAGCTGTTCCTGAGATACATTGACTTCACCGGCATACATAAACTCAAGGATGGCTTGCAAATGGAGATAGGATACGTCCTTCAGTATAATTATAGGATGTTTAGATGGGTTCTCCTGAAAAGTTTGATAACAGTTTATTTCATGGGACTCTTTTCCTTGATTATGTAGGTGTTACTAGTTGCCTTCTGTGTAGTTGTTTTCTCTTTTCTACAATACAATACAAAGAACAAGGATATCAAGTCAAGCTATTTTGTTATAGTAACTTATTTTGGTTACCAGGAGAAAATAGTAAAAGTTAATTGCAAAATGAAATGATAATTATCAAAAAAATGTTCTGATGTTTGTAGTATTAAGCTATGTTTACAAATCTGTATCCTATAGCTATGTAATCAGATAATGTGGTTAATTAACGAATGACTGTTTCTTATTCTCAATTTACCACTCATTTAGTAAAATTGCATATTGAAAAGACTCTATATAGATTAAATAGGCTAGGCAATAATTACAATTGTATACACTAGCGGCACGTCCCGGCTTCGCACGGGTAGACATAAATAGGTACAGATATTTAAATTAAAAGCATGCCAATTAAAACGACCATGAATCACTAAATTAGAAAAAAAAGTATTGCGCGTCCTAGCTTTTAACGACCGTTGTCTATCTCGCTGTGTCAGGAGCCGCTGCGAGCGTTCAGTGTTTAAGTCCCGTGCACGCGTTCGCGAATTTTTAGCTATATTTCCTTCGAAAAACTAGCTCGCGTCAACTGCGTAAGGAGCCCACTGACCCTGCCGTCGAGTTAGTTACTTGATGCGCAGCGTGGCGGTCCCCGCCGGCATGTATTTTAATTTTTATAATATCTTTTGAATGGATTATCCGATTTCAATAATTAAAAAAGTAATCATCAGGTATATTTGGATAAAAATTTACAAATGGTATGGAATACACTCTCTTTTTGTTCGGCATTTCTGTCAATTTGTTAAAATATGTAAAAAAGTAGTTATAGTTACGTAACTACAATAGGTAAACATATGCTCTCGTGATGTTTTTTTGTAAATATTGATATATTTTATAATATTGTCGAACATTTTTTGTCCTATCATAAATACTTTTTGCAGCGTATGCGATTAAAAAGATATTTTATGGCAATTTTTTTACACCTCCCGTTGGTTTTCATAGAAATTTCTATAGTTATCAAGTATATATATAATCATGTATAGCCTATGTTACTCAATGATAATGTAGCTTTCTAATGAAAAAAGAATTATTGAAATCGGTCCAGTAGATTTTGAGTTCAGCTGTTACATACAAAAATACAAATCTTTCCTCTTTATAATATTAGTATAGATAGTACATTTTTAACATTTACAATATTTGAGTAAATTTTCCATAGTATGTTTTGACCTGGGACATTACCCAGTGCTGAGTCTTTTCTCTCATAAAGTTTGAGAACTTCAACCCACCACAATGTACTTCAGGTATAATGTAGATGTAAGTGAAAACCGCATCAAATTTTTTTTTTTTTACTAAACTAGCCAATAATTAGAGTAGAGAGATAATAAATTATTCGAGTATTCTCATCACACATACAGGAAAACCCAAATATATTATTAGTGGAGCATTTAAGGGTTTCCTATGCAACTTAATGCATTTGTTCTTAAGATAAGGGTCTATTTACAGACTACATAAGAAGATTGATTATTAAATCTAGGTATTTTTAATGTTTTATCCTTATAAATACTGTTTTTATAATGACAAAATCTAAGTGAACTTGTTCTAAAATTAAATCTTTCACATTATTTAAAAGTATAAGTGTTATTTAATGGTCAACAAAAATAAAATTTTATGGAACATGCTCTAATATTACACATACCTCTAATAAACTTTTAAAATAGGGGCTACACGCTGACAGAACCATTTTGTGGGCCTTGCATGTTTGACCTTCACATGCCAGTGTCACCTGAAAGGAATATACAGCATTAAAAAAAAAACTTCTATGACTTGGGTAAACATGGGATTGCGGTCGAGGCTCAGTTGAAAATGTGTTGCTCAGCATTAAGCAATATAATACGGAAGTTAAGTTTTCAAGTCCATGTTTAAGAATTTTAATTTAATCCTGTCTTTAATTAAATACATAAAGAAAATGGAATAGTTAAATTGACTAAAAAGAAAATGACTACTTAAATATATGTGATAAATTACTAAGAATCAAACCTAGAAAATTCATTTACTTGTTGTCCCAACATTACATTACGATACTTGGCTTTTACTATATACAATCTTAGAGTGCATATCAAATGCATTTATCAATAATTATAAGATAGAATAGCTACAAAACCACACACTGTTATTTTTACTAAATAACTTGAAGTTGTTTATAAATAGAGTTTAAGTGTCAATTGTTTTACCTTGTGAAAAAAGTATTACCACCCATTTGTATTTACAACACATGGACAAGATGTGATTTTTATATAAACAAAAAAGATAGTCATAATTAACAAAAAAAGTACTTACGTCCGTAAAGCTTTTCTCATCTCGTAAATGTCTGAACGAAGTCACCATATTCGTTTGGAAGTCGTTCCATTTTAGAAAAAATTGTTGGTCCCCCATATTGAATTCGTTTTTCTAAATTACCTACAAATTTAGAAATAATTAAGTTAATCACAACAACATGATTCTACTTTTTCTTACACGTGATGTTTGGTAAGTTAAGGCGAAATATTATTTACTATATAACAAATTACTTAGTAGATAAATAGTGCATTACAGTTCTCTACGTCATTAATAGAAATGCATTTCATAGAAAATAAGTTGGCACACTAGATATTCAACAAATTCACAACAAATATTGTTCGATCCCTTACCGTAATTATTAGCTTGGATATAAATCCAAGGGCGACACGTAACCTTTCACAATTACCACTCAAAACTTAAACGATTGCATCTGAAAATAAAGACGCCGTCTGGCATATATTAGCGACTTCTTTCTATTTCTTCAAATTCCTTCAATCTTCAATCACCTACAACGTAATGTTGCCATTTAAAATAACTAATTTCTGTTACACTAAACAAAAAAACCGGGCAATTAATTTAAATCAATTTTGATTGTAATTAATAAATAATGGTTGAAATATTATCAATAACACAAATAAAGATAAACTATAAAACAATATATAATATGTTAGTTAATGTTGCTCAAAGTGACATCTACTGACATTAATTGTATAACTTTTGACAGCGATACCTTTTGTTGGGTAGACACGAGATTCAAACCCATGATTCCAATTATTTATCAAAGATATGTGGATTTTTAAGTAACGTTTTCTTCTTTACGTTTAATTTACCAAAATCAGAAAATATAAAAAAAAATCGTGTCAGGCGCTTTTTACTGAGATCCTTAGGATAAATATACCATTTTTAATCAAACAAGGAAAATAAAAGCATTACATCTTTATTATATCATAAGTAATAATGTATTTCACAAACGTTTTTAAAACGACACTCATATTGCATAAAGAAAGAGAGGCAAAGGTGAATTATCATAATAAATATACGCTAATATAGTTACTACTCTATTATAATATTCATTACGTCATGCACACAATCAAAATCTTGAACTAGCTTTATTAAAATGATTATTAATATTAAGTAAAATTACATTTATAAACACACGACTACTATCGAAAGGCCAAGCGGTGTTGCCATAATTTCTTAAAATACATCTTATTTCTCTATTATTACATCTAATAATAAGTACGAGATTATTCTAATATTATTAATTGTAAAGAAACAGTTACGCATAATTTATAGCCGAATACTATTTATGTAACGCAAATTATTATTTCCACTAAATAAATTACATCATATTCATTTTTCTTTAATTGACACGAAGCAGGTTTGTCATTGATTACAAATATATTAAACGTACATTGACTTAAAATAACTACTTTACTCGACATAACTCTAATATTCAAATACATGTATCTATAAACTTATTAAATTATTGCTTAGTAATCGTCAGAAGCGAAACACTCAAATATATTAATTAAAATATCTAATTCCTACCCGCTACGCTCATAGCTTACCTAAGACATAATCTGTATATATTTGGTATAATATAATATGTATGCGTTTGATATATTACAAAGCATTTTCTGGACTTAGGTATAATCTAGCGTATGATTCGTCAATCCACGAGGGAGACTGAATTCTTATATTTATTCCTAATCTAACTATCGAGTTTATAACCCACCTAAAAATAATTAAATAGGTATATTGCTGCACCAAAAATCTTATCAACGATACAAAATTAAAAAATAAACATCTTTCAATAATAAAGTAACGAAACCTTTTAAAAATTGTCAAAAACATCATCATTGATGGGTAAACAAAAGTCCACCGCAAAACCTTTGGTTATACACAATTATAATAAAAACGAGATCCTAACAACATCTTAGAAGAAACATTTTTAGTCTTTGTTTAAATGAAATGCCATAAATTTGAGCAAAATAAAGTTCTCTTAATATTCTATCTAGAATAAAATTACATTGAATTCACTAGTTACAAAATAGATACAGTAAGACACAGGTCTAGAGAAGAGATGAAACATGATAGCGTTAGACTAAAATAGTAGTGATAGTACTTATATCTATTCATTGGTAGGATAATATGAGGTTTAAGTTAACTTATTCGAAACTATTGATTTGGTTTTAGCGCATAGTAATGACTGACTAGACAATTTTGGGCTGTCGGAATATTTGGCTGGATCGATGAAGTGAAAATTGAAAACGCGATTACGACTAGATGGAAATGCAAACGTGGGAAAATAGATAATAATGTCCTAACTTATAGATATTTACACAATTTAGATGTACTTTCAACTGGCACTAATTATTTCGTTGCTCGTCACCTGCATTAAGGCAAATAGGACGGTATAAGCTATATAAGGCATTTATAAAGGCACCTAGAAGCGATATTTACACTTAACATTAGAGATGGCGCTTGCATCGATGTCGTGTTCGTTGTGACATTTTAACACGCCCTTCAGAACTAACCGAATCTCTTTATAACAATGTTGAATATAAAAGAGGCGACGCTATTTATGTGTACATTCGTACAATTTAAACTTAATACAGTCAACATCTAGCTTTTACGGTGTATAGGGTTTACTCAAGAATAAGAAGTTAATCTGAATATCCATATAACATAACTATTCATCACTAGAGGGCGCCTTTTTAACATTCGCAATTTTTAGTCCTCGCGGGGCCAGAATAAGTCTGGCTGGGGTCACGAGGACTATAGCGTACTCTCATTTGTTGACCCCAAGAAATTTAGCAGCTTCGTCGGCCGAGGAAAGAAGCTTATTAATGATGGTCTTGTCTGGGATCCCCAAAAGTTTTCCAATAAGGTCGCTGCCGTTTTCACCTTCGTTTTCTTCGGACGAATATTTGCGTGACGTCATATCCAGCTGTAATGTTTTCTCGAAGGGGCGGGAAGGGGGTGAGTTGTTGTTGTTTATGTTGTTTGGGATCTCGTTGCCGGAGCCGTCGTCGTCCTGGTAACGGTAGCTGTAACAAAGGGGAGAGAACATTAGACACAAGAATATATTATATACAAGAGTATAATACATTCTAATGCGGGGAATGAGTCAGACAACCTATTGTTTCATTTTAATTTTTTTTACAGACCAAAGCTTTTTTGCCACACAGTACAGTTTTATTACAATGGTAGTTTTGTGAAAAAAATGAGCAATTTACCCATTAGTTACGTCTAGCGGCATGTTCGGCGGCGTGGTCTCTTCATCATCGGTGGCTTCCTCGCGATGCTTTTTGCGGTGTCGTAGCATGCTATGTTTTAGGGTAAAGCGTCGCCTGCACAGATCGCAAGCGAAGGGTCGTTCGCCCGAGTGTGTGCGCATATGTCTGCGGAGGTCTTCCGCTGACCAGAAACGACGTACGCAAAAAGCGCACACCACCTAAAAACAAAACAATTATTTAGCGTCTCAATTTAAATTTAGTGCGGTAGCTAGAAAGGAGTATACGCGAATACACACTATTCGATTAAAATTTTGATAACCAAATGTCAATTAAGATAAAACAAAATTAAACAGATCTTGAGAATGTAATAAAACGATAATACTCACTTTTCTGTTCGCGTGGTCCGGAAATTTTCCTCTATCATCGTCATCGGCGCTTTCGCTTCGATCACTGGCTGCGTCCAGAGCTCCTTTGGACACCAATTGCTCGTACTCTGTGGTATGACTGGTCGAGAGATGACCCAAAGCCCCACTCCGATCTCCGAATGAGGCCTCGCAAAGATGGCATTTGAAAACGAGCCCGCTCTCTGGTTCTTCGTCGTGTACGGGCGAAGGGCATTCTCCACTGCCATGCCGCGCTACCATATGTTTCTTCAAAGTCTCCATTGACGAGAACGTACTAGTCGGGCAAGTGGCACACTTAAAAGGCCTTTCGGGTACAGATCGTGTATCGTTAGGAGTAGGAATGGCATCAGATATAGGCTCGGCCAAGATGGCTTTGGCGGAACCGCCGTGCTTCCTTAGTAAATGACGGTCGCAGTTGGATTTGGTGGTGAACAGAAGGGGACAATGCGGGCATTTAAAGGGTTTCTGACCCGTGTGCGTTAGTACATGGCGACGAAGGGAGGAGGACCATGGGAATTTACGGTGGCAGTAGGGACAGGATACGCGGTTGGGCGCGAGACTGTACGCCGATTTCTTTTTTGGTGGTTGGTTCATGTCAGACTCCGATCTGAAAGAGAAACTAAATTTAAAATGACTTATCTAATCGTAGAATCGTATGAGAGTTCGTGGTGACGAAAAGAAATTGCTTATTTTCTATTAACGAAGTAATACATATACTCTAAGACCTGAGGCGACTAATGTTAAAATTTCTAGGTATAAAAATGCTTACTTATTTTCGTCGCTTCCGGAATTATTTCCCTCACTTGTAGAAGCGACAAGGCCCTCTTCATCTTCTTCTTCATCAGATCGAGTTGGAACTATGGGCACATCTTGGGGTACAGTATCGCCGGTCTCCATCTTTTCTGATGGTATCGGTAGCGGTTTATTGATAAGGTTTCCTGCGATTTTCAGATCGAAGTCTTTATTAAGTTCCTGTTGTCGTGTAGCCATTAAGATTTCAGCAGCAGCACGGTGCGCGGCGGAATGTTCGTCCGATTTTTCATCAAGCTCTTCATCGATAACTAAAGCATCATCTTCATCTTCTTCGTTATCGGCGACTTCATCGGAGTCTCTTCTTACGGGAGAACGGTCTAGTTGGGACGGTCTCTCAAGATGTCTGGCTAGTAGAGCATATTTTACTCGATCAGCTAGGTTTTCTGAACCAGGATATGGCGGTGGCGCTCTTGGTGTCGGCCTTCTAACACTCCAGTGTTGGGGATGTTGCTGTTTTACGTGACGTTCCATATTTGATCGCAGTGTAAAACGAGCAGAGCACTGCGAACATGAAAATGGCCGTTCAGTACGATATCTTCGTTGTTTTTGTTTCGGCATAAGAATGCCATTTTTTATAACCATCTTCACTGGATCGTTTTGTTGTGCAATGTTGTTGGGGATTAGTGGAGATTCCGAGCGCGGCGGTGGTGTTGGCGTTGTGGTAACTTGTAAAGGTTTTACTTCTTCATCCTCTGGTTCTTGTTTGGGTTGAACGTCTTGTTCGGGTGAAACTAATCTTCCACCGGACATACTCAAACCGCGAATTATTTCTTTTTGAATGCGTTGCTTTATTTCGGCCAGTTCTTGTGAGTCGGTTGGGTTAGGAAAAAAGGAAGATTGAAGAAAGTAAGGGTTGAGAGGAAAAGACGGTGGAAGTGGTAAACCAGGTAGAGCAGGTACTGCACCAGCGTACAGCTGAGAGAGTTGAGTAGCGTAATAAGCGGGATCAATTTTTGGTAACGACGTTTCAAAGAGTCGTTGTTGTGCAAGGAGAAATCTTGTTTTCTCAAATGCCGCCGCTGTAGCCGCTGCTGTTGTATCGAATGCCGGTCGAGGTTGAACTTTGGGCTCTTCATCTTCAACATCCCGTTTCTTCTTGCTTAGATCAAGAACATCGCAACTATTGTTGTCACTAGTACTAAGGTCCACTGGAGCTTCTTCGTTGTAATTTTCCTGTTGAATGTCGTTCGCCTTAAAAGTAATATCAGGTGTTCTGAACTCAGGTATTTGTGTCAGTTGCCCGATACCTTTCACTTTAATTCTTGGCAGTGTTTGTTCACATTCTCTTGGAGCTAATGTTGGCGTTTCAGGTAAAGATTTGACTAAAGAAGTTACAGGATGTCTGTCAGCTATAAATGTGGGAGAATAATGAGTTAAAGGTGTATCGCGGCCGGTGGATTCAGTTCGCCTTTCAAGATCTGGAGTATGAAACGCAAGCGATCTTTTCACTTCCTCCCTTGCAAGCTTTGAATTAACTTCATCATTATTGGGATCCTCAGAGGGATGATATATGATGGATCGCTTAACGTCTTCTCGTGTTACTTTAGCATGACGGTTTCTTAGGTGTCTTTCGCAGTTTGCTTTAGTTGTAAAGGCGTAATTGCATACGGCACATTCGTAGGGTCTGTCGCCATTATGCGTACGCATATGGCGGACTAATGCTGCCTTATCAAGTGATGCATGCGGGCACATATTGCACTGGTATGGACCAGGCCCAGTTCCACTAAGATGAACTCTGTTATGACCTTTCAGAGCCCTGAGATTTGGAAATTTAGCGGGACACAGCCTACATGGGAATTCCCCACGAAGTTTCATGCGCCTAAATTCAGCAGCGAAGTTGTCTTGAGTCTCTTCCGGCTCGCGATCTTTAGCTATAGTATCAGGTGGGGTTAGAACCGCGCTCTCTAAAGCAACTCTAGTACCTGTTAATCGTTCCAACAGGCTGCCAGCTGATGTAACGTTTAAAATTGACTGTATATCTGCCAAATCTCTAGCAGCGTCAATATGACGTATTCCATTACCTAAATGTGCGTCATCAAATTTTGGAGGAAATCTCTCCATAGGCGGCGTTAATGTCCCCGGAATACCGAAGGATCTATTCCTCAAATCCAACTTAGAGAAAAAGTCCTCTCTGCGATCTCTCTCTGGGCTGGGAATCCTAGTTGACAAACACGACTTCCGGTGAATATCTAAAACTTGCAAGCAAGGGAAATCCCTTGAGCAAAACTCACATCTATATAGCTGATCGTTGGCGGGCATTTGTTGTCTAGTTATATCGGAGAATTTTTTGTTAGGAAAATCAGAGAAAGCATAGTTCTCATATTTAGTTTTGGGCTCATCACCGTGAGCTGTAAAGCGGTGAATATCAAACGCGTGTAGAGAATCAAAGCGTTGGAGGCACTTTGGGCACTCGAAGCGCGCAGTTCTTTTGTCCAGGGGTGTCGGGGATGGCGATGTAGAGGCTGCCCTTTTGCGGGCCCTCCTACAATCTTCCTCATCGCTCCTGTCTGAGCGGTTGTCGCTGTCTATGCTCGTCGTTCTATTTGCCCGCGTTTCGATCTTCATGTCGTCTGCATCAATTTTAGCTTCACTGATGACTTCTGTTTTGATTTCTGCAACAACAAACGGACGAGTTACAATTGATGTCCAATGTTTGAATAACGTGGGTGGCTTTCATTTTCCTATTCCAAGAAAAGTTGACAATAGGTGAGTCAGTCGTCGGTACGAATGTATTTTATTAGTATAAAGAGATGTCGGGTTTATTGTTAAGGAAGTTCCTGTTACGCCTAATAGATTAGGAATCAATCTTGATAAAAGCACGTGAAAATTAAAACTACAGCGTTTGGTATAATCTGAAATTGGTTTATTTTTATTCGGAACTTAGTGTATTGGCAACTTTATCTTCTCTCGTCGCAACAGAATTAAAAGCTGTGTTAAAATATCGAATGATATCTGTATTCATCAAATGTCTTTCTAATTATTATTAAACCTTAACAAAGCCCTATTTAAATAGGTTAGTTTATATACGAATGGTAATAAATGTACAAATAAAACAAAATTATAATAGTGTTCAATAAAAGTTAACATTGTTTGACTACTCGCAAATATAAAGCTCAGTTCAACCTTCGACTTATACACAACAATTATATACGGCATAAATGCATCGAAATAATTTGATTCAGAAACAAAGGTGTAATTTGAAAGCCTAACAGATATAGCCGCAAAGGCGCGGTAGACATAGTATGAAAGCTACGCCCGGTGGTTGGCTGAAGAAAAATCGATAGTGACACCTGAATGTACCCACAACCCACCTACCTACAAACATACGTCACGAGCAGTTTGTGATGTAAAGATAAGTTCGTGGAATAGATGACTTCAAAGGTTTCACGATAAATTCGTAGGGTTTTAATATTTCAGCGAAATGATGGAGCAATCAATTGACTAGCTTAGCTAGTCGGTGGTAACTGTATTTTAAGTTAAATAATTATTACTTTATTTTTATTCATATGGTTAAAAACGAGTACAATTAAGATAGGTTTAGTCTTGGACAAAAAAATAATGTGAATTTAGTTGTTGTGGGTGGAGAAAAACGAACAGAAAAATCAACATTGCGATTTATGATACATTATAACGACGTCAACTTCTCCGACCCGACTTGAACCGACAAATAGGTACAAGGGATTTAAAATTTATAATTATTCAAATGGTACATTAATGATTGTTTTAACAGCATTTATCAAGCTATACATTTTCTAAGAATGAAATAATAAAATTTGATAAGATACGCAATCGGATTTCGGCTGTTGATATCAGGATGTCCCTGTTTAATAGTTTTTGTAGTACTTTTTGATTTAAAAAACAATGATTATTGCGGAATTTAGGACTTTGTACGTATAATATTAGTCATATGTTTTTGATAAAGATAGATATGCCTAGTCTTTATTCAACTCTGAAATAAAATAATGTAAGTTGTTAAAGTATACACAATGCTGAAACAAAAATAACTCTATCCGAATGTCTATCTGAATCTCAACGTGCTAATAAAAAATCCCTATGACATACAGCCATTATGAAGTTAAAATAGTTTTTATTTATAGATTACTATAAATGTAATATTTAATCCCTACATACATTTTTGTTTCATATGTTATAAGATAGTAACGCTATAAGATTGGGATTCAAGAAGGAAACAATGATTTAGCGCCTTTCATTTTGTAGTTTCCTATTGTGGTGACTTAAAATAATGAATATAGGTAAATCCCATTTGTGAATGTGACTCATGAGACGTCATTATTTATCTCGGTTGACATGATTTGAACTGTCATACCGCAAGTAGTTTTAGGGGTTAGCAATCGCATATAGGTTTGGTATTAAGGTGTAAATCTTCACACAACTGTACAGTATAATAAATAACCACCAAAACGTAAAGCTCTTAACAAATGAGGCAAACTGGACTGGACCAGAAATAGTTGCTTTCATTTTCTATGTACATACACGATTAAAAAAATTATAAAAGCAAGCAAGAAGGTAAAAATATTAATGAATTAAAAATGTACAAACACCAGCAAAGATTTAATGTTGAAAGAAGTGTGTTACGTAAATGGTATCGTATATCGTGCACAAAAGTTCAATAACAAGGTAAAGAATTACAATCTTATTGATTAATAATTAGAAAACGGCTTAGTCGCAAAACGGCATCCATTTACACCGGCAAGCTCTTTATTTTGATAATAACATCCGGTCGTCGCGGGCGTGACGCTATCGGGTTACATACGTTTTGTAAGAATTTACTTAAACAACAATTTCGTTACAATCAGAAACGTTTTAGGTACATTTTCCTTGAGTTATCAATAATTTTCCGATATCAGCCGCAATAAGCCTTGTGCCTTAAACTCATTAATCATTATTTGTCTCTTATAAGACATGTTTATTAAACAGATAATCATTATCGATTTTAAAGTAAGCTGTTGTTAAAATAATTACCAAGTACGTATATGCAACTTAGGCATTACTTTTTTCAATGGCCTGCCATGATTAAAACGCATTTTATGATATGTGATAAGCCCTGGATCCACAAAACAGTAGCTTCTTTCCGTCGAGCTCAGAATTAAAAATATAACCATAGACTTTGAAAATGTTGAAAACAGAAACATCTTGTCATATACTTGAAATTCTGTAGAAAAATCCAAACACCGTATTATTAGAAACATCAAGCAAATGTACCGTATCATATTTTCTTTGAAATAATCATTTCACGCAATCTTATTAAGTAATATGAAGCGTCGGTATGACAAGGACGCCAATTACACCGAAATGTAACAACTAACAAGTTATAAATGGGTTAGGAGAAATTGTTTGTTCGTACTTTGTGACTATCGTGATTGTATCTATTCAAGTATGAAAATAATGAAATAATTAATAAGTTTATTCTGCTATTTCCACGGGGATAACTTTCGACACGATATTTATCGTTTTCAAAGTAAGTTGTTACATTATGCAGGTAATCACTTTATATGTTAAATACACGTTGTCTCATCGCTAAACCTGTTTTAAACACATATAAACTGTCTTTGTAGTTATTCTTATAGAACTCTAAATCCAATGGAAAAATAGTCTACTTATAACGATACTTATTCCATATTTAGTCTCGTTCGGTGTAACGCACAGCTATCGAAAATCTTTACGCAACGCAAGTGACATTTGCGCGTTAGTCAAAAATCTGATATTTGTATTTTTTGTTTCCAGGAATTGCCTTATGCTAATTACAGTGTATTCATCGATTTGATTTTTCAAATGTTATTTAGTGTAGATGCGTTGTTATTTAAAGGTTAAGAACCTTGTATCATTTAAAACAAGCCTTTTACAGTTTAGTATGTATGTTGTGTGGTAGTATACTAAAGTGAACAACGAAGATATCTGAAGTGAAGAATCATTGGGTTCACTCAAGTTCATATAGAGAAAAGGTGTCACATAGATGCGCGCGCTCGTGACTTCCTCCTTCCCGCTTATACGGAATTTAAATCGGCCTATCACCATCCCGGCGCTGGTAAAATTTTAGACCTTGCAACACTGGCATAGAGGCGAGTGACATAACGGTGTGGCCATTTAATAAGCGGTGATTGATATGGCTGGGACGTCGTGGATACAGTTGTGTTATGGCCGAATGGTCATGTAGTGGGTATACGACGTCACCTACCCACAGGAATCATTGGAAACTGTCGATCAAGCGCCTTGTAAAGGGGTTAAATTAGAGTCAAGTTCTTTTAAGAAAATATATTAATATAGGATAAGAGTTTCATACTTAAATATAAGCTAAAACATTAGATTGAAAAATACGATGACACGAGCGGGCCTCGAACTCAGATTTACGGTACAATATAATATGTGATAGTTTTTAGTTATGCCATTTAATCCTACTGACGAAACGGCTCGTTGTATATCCTATAATATTTAACAAACTGCTGTTAAGTATAAGTGTCCAGTCAAATGTACGGTTGACAGTCTATATATCTAGTTTCAACGGTCCACCTGTAGCGATAAATCGACTTCTCCACGCAACGGTTCTGAATTACAGTGCCTCCAAAGTCATTTAACTCTCCATTGACAATTACCCGGTTACTGTAATCTGTCCATAGTAAGGTGGTTTCGTTGGTTGACTATGGTGGCTATTGTAAGTGATAATTTGCGTAAAAAGTTTCGAAATGAATTGCTTGAGAAAACTGGGTTTCACTTGAGTAAGTAAGGCATTGGGAGAATAGGGACCTAGTCAACTGACCAAATTGTAAATTTCGTAAAGTGGATAACCGTATATTATCAAAAATGTCTACATATTTAGACAGTGTACTGTTATATTATAAGATAATATTTTATAACAGATGTTTTTTGTAATACCAAACACGGTATGATAAATTAGTTCGATTTTCAGGTTTATCTATTTACTAGTATACTTATTATACGCAAGATCACTAATATCGTTCGAAATTATACCTATATCGTTTTGAAATCTCGTTCCCCAAAATTGCGTTAGTTTTTATATAATCGCCGTTGTATGGTAAAAAAAACTTAAATGCGCCCAAACAATGTCGTCTTGTATAATTTGAATAGCATGGTGTGGTGGATATATCGTCTGGTGAAATCTAGACGGCTCCGCCAAAAAAGGCCAACATCTAGTTGGTCACGATTCAAAAATGGCGTCCCAACGTCTTGGTGTTAACGAATGCAAGTCAGGATCGCGCCTTCCGTGTCCATTTAATAACGGTTCTTGATGCACTGGTTATTATCTATCAATATTTTATGGGTTATTAGGACGAGTGCGAGCTCATTTTTAAAATTAGAACGCAATTAGAGTGACAGATAAAACTGTCCTTGATGTTAAACACTTGGCGATTTGTACCGTTTTGAACTAACCTATTCCGTCGACTATATCATTTGGGAAAGAATAATTAAAAATCGTTACTACTATATGTCTGTCAATCCGAGTATCTTTGAGGTCGATAAAATCAATATCTGTTTGTCAATTGTCAATATGTGTTTGGATCCGATAATAATCGTAATCCCTACATCCTTCTTATAAAACCCGCCCGATGATGTTAATTGATAAGGATTTCATCAACACCATGAATATTGTATAATCTGTGACCAAATCGTATGACGCTTTCTCCGAACGGAAAGGCGTACCAATTAGGAGTCGGGAGGGGCGTGAAGATGTGAATAATTGAATATTAATTCGCGGAGGGCCCGAGAGATGGCGGTAACAGGACCGCTCGACGTGACGCGTGCGCACATTCCAAATTACCACCTGTCGTGAATCGAGGTTGTTGTCGCCTTTCGAATTTTTTACGTTTTCTGTTTTATCGTCCCTTTAGAGATGAATATTATAGAGAAAGGAAAGAGTTGGTGCTATCGTTTGTTATTTATTGTATATAATGAGAAAAATTAACAACAGTAAAATTGTGGTCCATTCGAACAATTTTATCGTACAAATATTGATTAGCTCTAATTTATCGCGCACAAACCAAATAGTCCGATTGCCTTTCTTTCTCTTAACTTGCGTCAATGCATTATCAGATAACGCCGCCCTCAATACATGTTTGTCTTGACCGTTTTGGGCAAAACCGGCAAATTTGGTCAATTGGAACTGAGATGAGTAAAGCGTTTAGATGTGAGCATACTTCCTGGCGGATAAGATAATTTCTATTTGAATACAGACGGCGGGTCCTTTCTTCGCTTATCTATCAGTCTAGAATTGTTCAAGGTACGCTCTTAGCCGTGTTGATCTAACGGTCAACAATTATCTTGAAGACTGGAGTATAAATCCTGGTCGAGAACCATTGAACAACCAAAGATGTATTGTGTTTAAGTAGATCGAAAAACCATTAATTTTACATGGTCACTCTGTTGGTTCAAAGGTTACTCCATCATAAATATGATCCTTAACCTAGGTATGAATAACTTAACTAATTTTATAGGTGTTATAGGTACAATTTCAGGTTAGAGATGCGAAAGTATCATTTACTGTTTCCCCTAACTCAATAACCACTTTTCGTAACAAGAGCATGGCATAGATCTCATTGTTAAGAGTTTATCTACGTAAGATTTTGTAGATACAGGTGATCACTTGATCTCGGCTGAACAAACGCGTCTTAATGAAACTCTAATGAGAGCGTGTATGGTGACAAACAATTGCGCAAGAGTTTAGAAATTGAAATAGTTAAGCACATTTAGAGACAAATTGAATTGTATATTAAGAGATATTATATGTGTATATCATAGTCTGAACTTAAGGTAGAATGTGCAATTTTTTATTCTTAATAATTATATCTAAAATATTTAGAAATCACCTCATATAACGGAATGGCCAAGGATTTTTCTAAACGATGCGTTAAATTTTGTTTGTTTCATAAATTGTTGCATATAATCAAAAGAAATAGTTTTTCTTGCGCAATTGTTAGCGTAGAGGTATATCTACTTCAAATAGTTAATTTACAATATTTTGTTATCATTCAAATAAGAATGTGTTCTGTAAGAATATAATAGACACGTCTTGTTAGCGAAGATTCCAGTGATAAAGTATTTTATGAGGGTAGTTGTCTCAAGTTCGGCGCATGTACGCTATTAGTGTTCAAGTTACATTGTTACTGATCGCACGCGTCGTTTAGTTTATCTTTACGGTTATTTGCTGGTGTCATCTACTTCATTGCCGGAATGCGGAGATGAACTTGAATGTATATCGGCAATTTGCCTTTATGTTCTATATGAATATATCCGCTTTACGAGTATGGAGTATGAGGTGATGTATTTTGTGTTTAAATAAAATTCAATATGTAGATCTTTACAGTCATTAAAAAAAAGTTACATGCATTTAATAAGTAGTTTTACGTTACGTGAACATCAACATCTTATTACCGGCCCGGCTACTAGTATTTATATAGACAGATATTTTTTACAGATTTTGTTATTTAAGTTTACTAATGTTCATTTGGCATTTTAAAGCTTACGTAATATCTCGATTAAATAAGAAACTGTGGTGATAAGTAATTCTGTTGACTAGTATACAGAAAATTGTAGCTTCCATTATGTGTACATGTTTATATACTTACGTTGGGAGGCTGGAGGCTCGGCCGCGGAAGGCGCAGGCGCGTTCGCCGCCCCCTGCATAGCCCAGTCACGACAACGCCTATAACAGAAATGACAATTGTTGGCACACGTATATAGATCCTTTAACCCTTTTTAATATAATGCCTATATCGCTAAAACCCAGGCTGGTTGAAAACTATCATATTCTTCACATCTGATTGCACATGGTAGAATTATATAAATAAAAGCAGTTAGAGCTGCAGCACGAAACTCAGTGGAGCCAGTACGAATCCGGCCCGTGTCATTTTTTTTTCAATCTAAATAGACTTTTAATTAAACAAAAATTTCTGTTGTTTACTTGGTACTTTAATTTTATATAAATACTAATATACGTGTTTGACGCGGTCGATTTAACTTTTCTTAAGATAAAGAGTATTTTCACTTAAATATAATTCATTCCTTCGGTTATAACCTAATGACGAGATTATATACTCTCCAATTCATTTATTTTCTTAGCATCTTTGGAAAAATCTTCTCCGAAGTGTCCTCAATGCTAAAATACCTACACAGTAGAACATATTTATCTAGCACAAAAGAATCGATTGGAGAACAAAGAAATGAGTCAGAAGCCCTCAAAGTTATCAGCGCTTCCTATACATCGAGAAATGTGTATCTATGGGTGTAGTGATACCATTATTTAACGCTTCAATGACAGTCTAGGAAAATATAAATGTAACTATCAGAGACGGGACGATTGTGAACCACTTTAAGTTAAAAAATAATACGTAACCTTTTTTAACTAACCACCTCAGTAGCCAGACGATTAAACGTGTTCACTATAATTGCGTTAAGCGCGAGAGTGCCTGGGTTCGAATCCCGGACAAAAAATTATTTCGATCAGGCAGGGCACAGAAGTCTGGTCCACTACTTATTTGCAAATAAAACCGACCAGAGAAACGAACACAAAAATGTGTGCCCCACGACGGGTAGTCGGGATTTAAATTTTTAACGAAGTTACCTACTTTATAACGCTTTTCACGCCATATTCCACTTGTCCAGTTCTCCCGCGTCTCGGGAACATCGCAGTAGCACTATTACCATGTTCCTTATGTCCCTCACTATTATAATAATGATAATTACCTAAATTCATTTAACAAATGTTATTTCTCAGTAGTTATTAAACAATTGTATCAAAATTTCAGTGAACCCTCGACAACAGTTGTATTTTTCATTATTTATATTATATTATTCATATTTCATTTTTTTTTGCAAGCTATTAAATTGTACATTGAGGATGTTATTTAAAGAGAATCAATAGTACTGAATGATCCATCCATATTCCACCCGCCACGTGTCGCATTGTCACCCTGCGCTCGCGCATTGCACCTCAAGTGACCTATTATAGTGAGACAATGCGTGCTAATAACCTGTCGCGGTATGCAGGCATATGCTTTAGGCAGTCTTTATTATAGAACTATGGTCGAATGAAATTTATGGGATTATTAAAAAAAACCTAATTATTATATGTTGTAGTTTTTAAATTTAAGATAGGTATCGCTATATTTACTGATGTTATGTTCATTACTTTTAGGTTAGTGCATTGTATGTTTTTAGTTTTCATATAGTCATATTATCTAATTTTGTACCTAATGTAGTAAAGCCATTATAATTTATGTTGAAAATAGACGATAGATGTTTGCATTAGTATAATACGCACAGTAGAGCAACTGAATTCTTGAGATTAACTAAAAATTTACGTTATATTGAAACCTAATATTTGATAAATTAGTTTTAAAATGAGATCACGATATCAATTACAGGTTTGTACTGTCGGCTTATCGTTAAACACTAAGATAATATTATATTACCCGGTTTCAAGAAACAATCAAAGGAAGCCGACTTTCCTTTGTCTGCGAAAACTGAAGCGTATGAGAATTTCTCTAATAAGAAGTAATATATTAAGAAGACACGGTTTAAGAAATCAAAGGTCTACAACTGTAAAATTGACGAAACATAGGCCGCAGTATGTTTCTTCTTGTAATGTTACGGCAAATTAATTATTAGGATCATTTTTTGGTTAAACACAGTTTTTCAACAACCAAATGTATTTTCTTTACAGCTTTATTTAAGTGTACCTAACCTGCCAATAATAGTATCTTGTACTTGTAACTTGGTCTTGCTTGTAATATAGGGTCTAAGTAAAAAAATATTATATACTAAGCATACATAGTTTTTTTTATATGTATCTATGACGATATTTTGTGGTCGTTTAGTACAAGTATCAAAACAAAAGCTTCTCATAGTTCTCTCGATGTAATAGAACAGTAACAAGTAAATTCAATTACCCGTTATCACCGCGATAAGGAACAAGGATTTCACCTGTTATCGTGCAGACGTGATCAGATGACTGTATATAATCATCAATGATGATTATTTGTAAATTAGTCAAGATGTATCCGTAATCATTATGTTGCAAGACCGATCGAGGTAACAATTGTATTTTTGTTATTTTGGATGACTTATTTAATAAAGATAACAAAGAAATGCAGGCATTTCGACAAGCTTATTTATTGAAGACAAGATCTAGAACAGTTGGGGTTCTATTTGTGTTATAATTAATGGTTATATTTTTTTAACATTGAACATTATTCAGATTTTCAATATCAAGTGCAGTAACGCGAGCTATGCAAAATACCACAGATAATTATTTATCCGTGCATAGATAATATAAATTATTTTTTATGGCACAGAAAAATGAAGACATAAAAAAGCAATAAAGCGCTATCGTTGAATCCGTGACAAAGTTGCAATGACATCTTCGTTTGAGATTCATGGCAATTACTTAAGCGTGATGTAATTATTTTTTAAATAGGGCAATATAATTATTTCGATAGAGCTTTTACGATGCGCTAGATATAAAACAATACACGTCTTAATAATAGATATACTTTTTAGGACGTGTATATATAATTAGATCCTTAGCGAAACAAATTACCTATTAATAACATATGATATTTACTTGATAAATATCAATTAAATTGATTTTATCATACATCTTGATAAATAGTATCAACCTATTTTGTTCCCCAAATAAAAATGTCTTTATGCAACAATGAACAAATTAATATTTTTGCGATCGTTACGTGATTTACCAATAGATGGCGTAACATGTCTACAGTTCGTGAAACATGACACAAGATTAACTAGTTTTTCTTGTTTTATTATTGTTACGATTTATAATCCTTTAATCGGGTAAATACTTTAAAACGAGCGAGTACAGGTGTAGGTACGTTATGTTATGATATTGCGTATATATGCAATAGCATAGTGGTAGTAACGATTTTAACTTAAGATCTTTTCTTTCACGCGTTAAGACTGATCTTAGTTTGTTAAATACTGATAAACTACAATAATGTAAACTGTTGCATGATATCGTCCACTTTTAACCATAATTAGTTAAATAAATCGGATTCTTAGATGATACAGGCTTAGATTTTAGAAAATCCTTTTGTAGCTTTCTTATTTCCTTACTTTTAAAGGATGTTTTGTAAGTTAATAAGTAGGATGAAACCAAAACAATTGACGGACACTTGCGTATCGCGGGTTTTTATTATAGGTATGTCGGGTTCGAGAATAAATGAAATTATGTTAAGCACGTGATTGGCGATTTCGACTATTGGGTAGCCTTTCCAAAAAGGCTACCGTCGGTTACAGTGAATAGCGTCTAGCCAAGAAATCTTGAAGATAGGTGCAAAAGATTTTCAAATCACCAACAAACGATGTGATAAGATACAAAACACTCGATGCTCGAGTTGAAGACCGCAATTACGATATGTATGAGTGAGCGTCTCAATTTGAGATGAAAATGAGATTTTATCTCAAGTGTTATGTTATGACTGGCAATGGTTGCGTTATGTGAGATAAATAGACGCTACCTAATTACTGTAATTAGAGGTGTGAGTTGCACAAACTCATAGTACGTAGCAGGTTTGAATATTGTATTGCTAAATAATGAAACATAATTCAAATATAGACTGGAAATATAATTTTAGGATTTCTATTTAATTCGGATTTTTTTTCCAAAGGTAAATTAGTTCTCCTTAGCTTATAATTTTAAACTTGTTTTATCGCTGATGTAATTTAACTCTCCAGTGAATCCCTGCCTGTGTATGTCTGCCGTCGTTAAAAAAATCTATTGACGAGTACACCGAAAGAAAACAAAAAACTTAAAGACTTTTTTACAAACGTTTTAAACGACATGTTTACTATTCAATTATATTTGAAACTTATATCGAAAAAAAAATCTTGATTAAGTATAATTTTAAATTAAAGTGTGGCGATTCAATATAAATACCTACCTAATTCTGGAAGGTAAGAAATAGTATGATTATCTCTCCTAGGTATTTAATTTGGACGGTTTCTTTTAATTGAGAACTCAGTTTAACGGAAAAGTATAAAATATAGGTACCTCTGTCAAATCTAAATATATTACGATAAACCAATTTTTATTTTCAAACAAGATTCCCGTTAGAAAAATAAAGGTAAGTTTTCCTACATCTTACTTACTACTCTTTAAAGTAAATTTGTCGTTTCCTAGAGGTCATTTGTTAATTATTCTCAATTTTGTAATCTAATTTCAGAGCAATTCTAAAGAAAGACGATGAAATTATGATACAATACTAAATAGGTATCTATTATGACTTTTTGGTTGCACCTTACATTTATTGTGTACTCAATAATTGAATTCTAAAATTACACATATCGAAGAACTCTTAAATATGAAATATTGGTTCGGTAGACATAGTTATAAATAAACCAGTCACACAAAACTGTTTATTATAGTTAAAATAGCCGTTAAAATATGTCTTTAAAAAAAAGACACATTACAATTGCGCTTTAAAATTGTTTGTTTATTTGTCTAAACGCGTAGCTTCTAGAAGCTTTTAAAATATTGGCAATTTTCGTGCTTACTAACATTGTCACTGTAGTTTTTTATCCTTGTAGGAACTTAAATTAACAATTATATTACCAGACAACATGGTGCGCGGCACGGCCTGCTCGATTTTAATACTTATAGCTAAAAACAAAACAAGGCGAACGTCGCACTAACGATAATTTGCATTGTAATCTAATCGACTAGTAAGTCCCAACTTACCCAATCGTGGATAAATTTGCGATATCAGCCGTCGCTTGACAGAAATGAAAGTCCAATTTCCGAGCTTCCCAATTTCTCACTTATCACGGTAACTTTTGAGCACAATTACAGTCTAACACTAAAAAGTTCTAAGGCACTTTGGTTTACAGTGAGAACCGCGTCGGGTCGCATGTGTGCATCTCGCGGGAACGACAACCTCGCGCGGCGAGATGTCGTCTCCTTGTGATCGTGATGAGAGTACGCACTGTCGCTCTGCTCTCGGGGGAGCAGAAGATGGCCGCCGATTGGTCGAGAACAGTGGACGGGCGCGCGGGGCGAACGAGAGGGCGCATCTCGGCTGGGCCGCGTGCGAGCGAGACGCCTAGCGGCGTTCGTTTCGTCGTCCTGCTACAGATTGTCCGGCGAGTTCAGGTGGATCATTGTTGAGAGCGCGAAATGATAATATGGAGATGTCTTCGTAGCTCCATTTTTTTTATCGAGCATTATTTTAACATTATCTATCAGATAATACTAAAATAATATGGCGACGTAAGTCCTTATTAAGATTGTTTTCTTGCAAACGTTTTTATATCTGATAAAAAATATATTTATCGATTAGATACTTTGCTATTTGGCAATTCTTGATTTTTTTTGTTAATGATAGGTCGGATTTGAGAGCTACATGAGATTAGAATGTTGTAATTGCTAATTATTTCTGCAAACTGGTAATTACCATCGTGATTCACTACCGTCCACCCATTGTAACGACTTTACTAGTCAATGGTGTTGTTTAATGAATGAGAGAGAGTCAATCAGATTTTTTTTTAATTACGTACACACGAGTATTACCATAAGAGTCTTGGATTAGAATTACCTACCTTATAAATAGTGACCAACACATTATTTGTACCGTTGTTAAAGTTTACGTAAAGACTAGGTATATTTTTATGTAAACTGAGTAGGTACGTAGTACCTACGTATTTATCTTAATTATTTTTAAGTATTGGCGAGGCATTGTCAAACATATGTATGTAATAAGAGAAAGATATCGAATAAATGACATAAATTGTAGTAGACCTCTTATATTAATAATTGTGTAACATTTAAACATATTGATAGTTTTTTTTAACACAACTAAACTGTACATCTTGTCTTCAGAAGACGATACTTAAGAGACGAAATAAAACGTTTATTATTAATAGGAATTTTTGAGATTTTCGTTTTAAATACTGTCTATAGTTTACGCGAGTAGTACACATTTAAATAAAACACTTTAACAGTTTAAAACGCGATATATTAGTTAAACTTATTTGAAAATGATTTTTAACTTCGGCCCGACGTTTCGGATGCTTTGCAGCAGTCGTGGTCACGGGGAGACTAAAGATGGAGGATGTCTCTGACATCAAAGTAAAAAATTGCTACGCTAGCGCCATCTGTTCCGTCGAAATTGGTATTTGGCGAAACTCGCCGGGTCCTTGCAGAATTTACTAACGGTGTCTTCGCGTTTGCCGGTATGCTGTTTATTGGGATCCAGAGTTTTTAAAATGGGGTCCCAGGTGTTTGATAATTTGAGGCCGTCCTCCCTATTGAAATTTTAAGCTAAGTATTAGCAATAGTGCAATCAAATTCGGTATTGTCCGCAATATTAACGAGTTCTCTTTATCAAAGTTTAATTAGTTCTAAGTAATGTATGATATTGTGTTTTTGCTAACTGTTAAAGCCTTCATCGTCATCTAATATTTAATGAAATTAGTTTAGAGTTTAACAAGGCCTACTTCACATACTGTAATTTCAGTAATTTTAGATGTACTTAAACTATAAAAGCTTTTGGACCAATCTGTCTGTTCGAAGAATTCATTTTTCGAGGCTACGTGGAATCCTTACAAAATCCTTCATTCTTACAAAGATGTACTTTTTATAAAACGTTCGAAACATGCATATTGCACTTGATTTTTTTATAGATATCTCTATTTTTTTATAATATAATTAAAGAGGACAAACAAGCATAGGGAATAAATGCTCCAGCCATTAAACATCAAATCATTTTTTATCTTTTAGTTTGCTGGACGAATTTTTGAGATTCACAACACCCACTTTATACTATTTTAGGACAGATAAGTAAACAATTAGATTAGAAACATCTTGGACCTGGTGGAAATCGAACTTAATATTTTTCACAAGTTATTGCATTATATAAACAAAAAATCGCTTTCAGATCTGCGGCTGCTATAGGCAGAGTAGCCTAAGTGCAATTTTATGAGTTATTCTTATTTTCATCGTCTAAAAACTCATAAAACTTTGAAATGTTATTGAAAAGCATGTTTTTTGTTATTAGCCCAATTTGCCTCTAGCGGCCTTATTTCAAGTCCTTCTCATGTCGTCATTTTTTTTTTCAATCTAAAGCCTATTTTTATTTATACTTTAATTATTAGTAGCTATTCATTGATACCACTAAACAAATCAACTATTTCAAAATACTTTGTACGCTACGTTACCTAGACCCAGCTCAGTTGTATTAGTGATTATCACCGGACAAAAAGGTCACACCGAGTTTAATAATAGCACAATACCGGCTGTTGTACGCGAGGGGATCAAAATCAAATAGCGGAGATAAAGGCGCGATAAACGCACTGTGATCCTCTCCCATCTCATGTTTGACCTTTAACAATCGGTCAAATGGCGCTAAACAAACACTTCACCCTCTGATCAACAGAGCTCAATATTCAAAGGCGTTATCCGGTTTGAAATAAGTTATCTAACGCTAATAATAACAGGAAAGAATTAAAACAATAATCCAATAAAAGGCTTTCGCGACTCTCTTGCAAAAGTATTCGAGTTTTCTGTTCGGCCGTCGTAAAGTAGAAGCGGTTCTGGACGTCGTCGTAATTGTAATAGCACTAGCAACCATTTCTCAATGACGCCCGAAAAAGTCGAAAATCATTAAACTTCAAAATTATACCCAAACGTTAAAGGGCGACCTGATGGAAAGTGGATGGAAATCTCTGATAATTGTTGGTAATCCTTCACATACACAAATAGGCACAAGTAATTCATTATGTTTGAAACCCAGGACCTCCAAGCCAGTCAACGTAACAGAGTTGGTGAACAAGTATTACATCTTTTTATTTCAATCGTAACGTTTCAGTTCTCTAAACGTACCTTACAATACCTACTCGGATATTTTACCGATATTAAGATAAGACCAGGATAAAATAATAATTGATAATTTGTACTAAGAAAACAAATATAATCTCAAATATAAGTATTAAGACGGCATAAGCATAGTTTTTATCTGTCTCCGTGACATTAATCGATGCGATAACAAATATATTTTATTATTAACAGGAGATCTATGTTTCCTTGTTCAATATTTTATTGGATACTCAAGGTGTTACATGGAGTATGTGGATAACAGCTGGAGTACCATAGATGATCTAAACTCTTATACCATCTCCTCCTTTGAGAGAGGAGACCTGACCCTTTGACAAATCTATATTGCAGACAGAGATGATATGGAACCCAAAAATATGCAATGCAATATTACATATCAACTTTAAAATAGTTAATAGCTCTTATTGTAAACCATTCTTTTTGTCTGTTATCTTTTGATCTCTAAACAAAGAGAATTATAGTCTGTATAAGTTACCACTGTTATAAGTTAGCGACCATTTTGGATGTTCATATATTAATTTTTAGTACTATATACACTTGTTAAAAATTATATAATTATCATTAATAATCTTTTCAGAGCAAAGGATATGCGTACGTTTTATCGCAAGAAAGTTTACTGAAAGGTCCCAGATACCGTGTACCTATACCCTAAATGTGTTTGGTCATATTAGTAACTTTATTTATTATGTTCTTTTATTATAAAATGTTAACATTTAACGTTGTTTGTATATAAAATAATAGTTTTTGGTTTATATTTTGTATCTATGATTGGGCCTATTTTTATAGCGTGATTTGATATTTTTTTATAAATTGGGATATAAATAGTACGTATCCTGTAGTCTAAACTTCAATTTTATTTTCAAAGTAGCGGAAACTGTTAAACGATTGTTTTTTAATATGATTAACTTAATGTGATGGTACAATGACCTATAATAAAAGCTTAATTTTTTTCATTCCAGTAATCAACGCAAAATCTTAATAATTTATTTCAGTCTAATCTTTCATAATGATACAACTTAAAGAGTTATTTTATTACGAGTAAACCGAGGGCGCGGTTCTTCCATCAATAATTATTATCAGATAGGACTGCTATTGTACAAACAAGCGGTCTACTCCAGGAAGAATGATTATCTTTACTATTTCTTGGTATCTACGATGGTCTACGTGCTCTAGTAATTTATCAGTTATCATATTGATTTTAAATAGCTCTGACACGACGTTTATCTCGACTTATACTTGAAATTGATTTCTACATTACATTGAGTATGAAAAGAAAGACTATGACGTACTATTATATATGTCAAATTCAGATTCAAACTTTTATTGTCATAATAAGATATTTACAAACTTAATATAAACAAATAATAATAATATAGTAATAAATATATATAAGAAATGGCAATCAGTACCACTCAGTCACACTCAGCAGCGCTGGTTTTCACACTGGCACCGGCATAGAAGGAAAGGAGTGAATTTTAGTAAAGTAATATAAATCGTAGAACACAAAAAGGCGCTAGTTTAGAATTTATGGAGAACCAGTCGAAAGGTAGGAATATGTCTGTCCTATGCCTAGATGTAATATTCATGTTGAGAGGAGAGGGCAGACAAACGTGCGATTCACTTGACGGAAGGTAAAATACCCTAGCCATATAACCCGAGCTATTTTGATGCGGGAAATCACAGACTGCAACCAAAACGCGCTTCTTCATCTTAGGACGATGGTTCCGGTAAATAGGTATCTGGACGTATATTTCGATATTCCTATCACCTATTTGATATCCAGATTTTTTCAAAGTGTTTCAGCGAAATCATAGTACATTGTTTAGACGGTGGATAACGAATCAACGACCTGTTAGGTAATATGTAGCAATATTTAGCTAACAAGTCCATTATTACGGAACGAAAATAGAAAAATGGTTTCGTAAGTTTAAAAAAGGACACGTGGTAGGTGCTTTATGCCACAACTTCTCAGGTACAGTGTTTAATGTAAAACAAAGGAACTTAATTTGTAATTTAAAAATCGAAAATAAATTGAAAAAAATTTTCGACTCTGGCAGGACAAAAATAAAATTTCAATTTATTTTCGATTTTTAAATTACAAATTAAGTTCCTTTGTTTTACAATTAACACTGTACCTGAGAATTTGTGGCATAAAGTACCCACCACGTGTCCTTTTTTAAAC